ACCAAACAGTGAACATGAAACTGGCCAAACTGTTCACTGCGTGGGAAACTGTCTTTGGTAGCAGAGCACGAGGAGCGGCCTGGCCGCCACCTACAGCAGTATTCAGTCGTCAGTCGCTCTGAAAGTCCTGATTCAGGGACAGCGCCAAGAAGCGATGCGTGTTTTGTTCATGATGAACAGAGAAGACAAAACAACAGTGCTCCATTCAACCGGCTCTTTGACCCACTGTGATCTGCAGGACCAGGACAGACTCCAGGTTTTATTCCTGACCTTCTGTCCAGGTGAGTTACTGCACAAGAATTATGTCACGTTCTGGTCTGTGAACAGACAAGAGGGACTCTCATATGGTGTGACATGTCAGACGGACCGGCTCGAGGTCTGGGGGTTGGGTGTGTAAACAAGGTCTCTGTGGGACTGTGATGAGGGTACAAACCGGACGGGTCACCGTCTCTGCTGGCTGTAGACGGGGAAGGCCAGCGTGACATTGAGCGAGTCGTTGTGTTGGACCAGTGAGGTGTGCTGGTAGTGCAGCACCAGCTCCTTCAGAGAACTGTACAGGTTGTAGGGCTCCGCAAAACCGTAACCAGTGCTCGTCTTGTTGATGACGCAGTGTTTCACCTCCCCGTCCACCCTGAGACACACAGAGAGAACAGAGTGAGATCAGGGAGACAAGTGACTGCAAAACAGCACCGACACCAGGGTCTGGACTCACATTACAGTGAGGACACCACATTCACTGGTGCTACTGGTCTCTGGACAGGGTTGGTGCAAAATAACACTTACACAATCTCCAACACTGTGATTTAAAACAGGGAAGCAGGAAAATGGAAAAGTCAACAGTGAGGACACCACATTCACTGGTGCTACTGGTCTCTGGACAGGGTTGGTGCAAAATAACACTTACACAATCTCCAACACTGTGATTTAAAACAGGGAAAAAGCGGGAAAATGGAAAAGTCAGGTATTTATATGACTGTTATCTACATCACAAAGGTGAAAGACCTACACGTTGATGTTAAACTCAATCCCAGCAACAACTAATTAGGACTGAAACACTATTTAAAACTGTAGTTTTAGGTCCTTCATACCAACGTGTGTATAATTAAACTGCTTCTTCCAGAAGTTATGTTGCAACAGAGAAAAACCTCTCAGCAGCAAATAAACTTTTCATGAACTGAGTTCACTGAAACTGGACAAAATGTGTGAATATGTTCTCAGAATGAAGGAAGACTCGTCTGACAAACAGGGATGGAGGTGAGACGTACACCACGGAGCAGGCGTAGCAGCCAGGTTTACTGCTGTCTCGGACCAGAAAGGTCCCGTCTCTCTTCCCTCGCAGCAGAGATTCGGCCTGACTGCGGTTGATGTTTCCCAGACGCCACAGGCGCTCATCATGGTGAGGAAGGTCCTCCTCATCCTCCACCATACTGCACTCACTGAGGGGAGAACACAGACGACATGTTAGACCACAGTCACACAACAGCAGGTCTTTGTATATGATCCTAAAACACGTATTTATACAGAAATACTAAAGGGGAAAATAAAACCCGGAGACTGCATCCACATCCCAGCTGAAGTTTCCCAGACCTGGTGTGTCCACAGCAGTGTGAACAGACCAGGTGTCCTCAGACCAGACCTGGGCCACCTGCTCCTAGACCCGATTCCTCTCCAACCACTGACTGTGCAGTGCTGTCAGAGAGGGAATCCATGTGGTCATTTTAACATCTCCTCCTCTGCACATACGGCCTGTCGTCATCATTCGGCGTCGGCCCCTCACAGACCGGTAACAATAAACATGGAGGAGAGCGACGACAGCGATGGGGTCAGTGGAGAGACCAGGACGTTTCACATGTGGTGGTTTATGGAGAAGCTTCTGATCAGGCCAAACTGGGAGGAACATATTGTAACCCAGTGGTTTGAGAGGAAACTGGGCCATTTGACTGGCACACACCACCTGGTTGTTATTCTTGTGTGGCAGTTTAGGAGCTCAACGGTGTTCACACCGGAGCCGGGTACATGGCCCTGACACACACAGATCAGAGGTGAGTGCCGAGCCCTGGGATGTGGACACAGCCTGAGTTTTCTGCCACAGTGTCATTCTGACAGCCACCACCGGGGGGGGGCGAACACATTCTCAGACTTACTCCTCTGTGGTCTCGTTCTTCAGACCGAGCCACTCGTTCAGTTTCCTCTGACGAACTCCTTTCTGGGTCAGCCACCTGAAACACACAGAGATACGCCGCAGTCATTAGTGGAACCTGTTGTACCACACAGCTTTAATCCGGTCTGTGTGTGTGTCTGTGAGTGGCGTACATGAGGTACTGGTCCCTGGTCTTGCGGAGCTGAATCAGGTCTGGTTTGATGCTGTTCATCTTCTTGTCGATCTCTCTGTAGTCAGCGGCCTGTTTTTTCAGGTCCACCTCCAGGTGACATTTACTGTCCACGATCTCACTGATGCGAGACTTCAGCTTGTCGTAGTTCTCCATGATCCTTTCAACGAGCAGACAACAGCTTAGTTTTATGATAGTTTTGTTTTCAGTGTTTGACAGTTTAAGACTTCAGCTTCAAATAAAATGCCTTGTGCGTCACAGGTAAAAAGCAAAAACATTTATTTGTATGTGTCTTTACATGTATGATTTGTACTTCTGCTCCTGGAGGCTTCGGTCTACACACTGTGCTGGTTGTGTTACAGTAGGAGTGTCTTTACAGGGTTTCCTTTCAGGTTCTGAACCGAGGCAGAGATCAGACCCTGGTGTTTGTTGTTTATTTTGTTTTTTAAATGAGACGCATCAACTGAATTTATTATTTGTGTCTGCATTTCACACCAAGCTACAGTTTCTGGAAATGAATACACAAAGTTGTTTATGATGCTTTTTCCAATCAGACCCAGAGATCTTTGAAAACCTGATTTGATTTCAAGTTCCTGCAAAAGAGCAGACACTTATCCTTCATCTGTACACAGGAAGGAGCAGCTGTTAATCATTACCCTCCGATCTGACTGGACAACAAACATTTTCTCGTCCAACCTGCAGCTTCAGACTAAATTTAGCAGCAGGTGGCTTTGTCCTGCAGCCCCTGTTGCCATGGCAACAAAGCCTCCTTTTTATATACCACTGTATAAGTGTGTGTGTGTGTGTTAAAAAAGGTTTCCGTCACAGCTGCCATGGTAACCGCCCACCTCTGAATCTCCTTGTCATTGCCCTCTCGACGGAACTTCTCAATGTACTCTTTGCTGAAGCGTTCCTGGGTCTGACACTGCTCCTCGAAGATCTTTATGGTCTCACTGAACGCCTCGATGGCGGTTCGCTTCATCTGGATCTCCTGAGGGGCAGGTAGGAGGAAGAGGAGAGGGGAAGAGGGAGATAAACAAAGAAAGGCTAGAGCATTGTTCGTTTTTCTACACAGTTTTATGTTGCAGAGCCAGTTTACAGCCAAACACTCACAGCTGCAGTAAAACCAAGGTAACAACCGTCTCCTGTGTCCAGCATCGGCCCCAGACCATTTTAAAACACAGCATCACTTATCATCATTAAGACAATCTTTGAGATTATTTTAGCAAGAGTTTCTCAAACTGCACTGCAGGTGGTGCTACAAAAGTAATATTAAAATTAGGGTCTCAAAAAGGAGCACACTTCCTTTGTTAGCGTACATATTTTACTCTTTCAGTCGTCTGTAATAGCACTGTATGAAGGGCATGATGGTTTTGACAGCTCTCCTGTTGAAGTCTGTCTCTGCAGGTGAGGCATTCTGGAACATTAAGATTTTTAATCTCCTCTATTTCTTATTTGTTGGCGTGTTTGAAAATAAATTATTAAAATTAAGTTGAGGTAAACGGCACCTTGTATTTTGCGTGATAAATTATTATACACACTAAAAGCAGCTAAGTGAATCTTGCCACTCTTGAGAGCTGCAGGAACCGCTGCCATGTGCAGTACTGTAGTGTACCTGTGAAGTCCTGGTATACTCCTCGTACAGTCTGTCATACTCTCGGTTCTTCTCCTGGTACTGCAGGTGGTACTCATGAAGCTTCTTCCCCACAGCTTCGATACTGTCCTCCTTCACCACCTGGTCCTGGACAACAACAACAGCACAACAGGCATGTGGTCAGACAACAACGGTCTGGGACAGACAACCAGCAGACCGGCAGAGTGCAACAGACCTGCTGGTGTTTGGAGACCGGGTAGAGCAGCTTGACGTCCAGTTTGGGGTTGTACTGGGCCAGAGACTCGTGGCGGTAGTGGTTGATCAGCTCCACCACTGAGCTGAAGGTCAAAGGGTCTGAGAAGCCGTACTTCCCCTCCCGATGGAAAATCTTTATCAGTTTGTTGTTGCCTCCTTTCCTGCAGGCGGCCAAAGAATAAACAGATTTTACATCACAGCACACTAAACTGGATTCTGTGTGAGTGCTGAAACCTTAAGATGAAAAGATTTCACAATGGAAATGCACCTTCCTAACTTACACAAAGTAAAATATTTAATACACAAATGACAGATAACCGAAGGTCCCCAAGGTCTTTCCGGGTCCACCACTGGCTGAGGAACCTCCAACAAAGAGCAGAGAGCTTTGCACAAAATGGCTGTAACTGTTATAAAATCTGTTTTCAATGAGAACATACATCAAGTAGATCTGAAGTACGTCTGGTCATTTGTCTGCAGTGAATTTGTTATAACCTGAATGTTTACCACAGGGGAGGAACACTGCTGTGACTGCACATGGGGTGTGTTGACATGAAGGAGACTTATCCTTTAATCATAGGAAATACTGGGACACTCCTGAGACATCAACCTGCTTGAGAACATGCAGGTGAAGAGCTGACCCAAGCAGTTTACCTGAGAGTCAGAGTGTAGTCTCCGTGCATCTTAGTGGAGGCGTCTCGGACCAGAAACGTACCATCTGCCGTGTCTCTCAGCTTCTCATTCACCTCCTCTCTGCAGACACACAGGCACCACATCAACACACAAAACGCCACAGCGCTCTGAACTCCAACCATCTGGAGGCCTCAGTCCTTCACCCACACAACTGGGATCATTTTAAACTCAGCTTTATGTGTAATTTTATTAAACCACTGTTTGTGTCTTGTAACATTGTGTGTATTGTGTACAGTTTGAAGGCCGATCTATGGACGAGCACCGCAAACTAGATCAGCGTCACGCTACAGACTTGTCCCTCTAAACAAAACAAATCCATGTGCTATTTGTTCTCAGTGAGTCTTCGAGATGCAGTGAACTGAACCCAAACTGGATAATAACCCTTTGTAAAATCTATTAAGCTGAGACCGAAACTGGTTTCAAGTCTCCATAGTATGCACATGACCTGAGCCCCAGCCTCTGTATTTTAGACCAAACAGCTTTGAGCATTACCTGGAAATGTCCCCCCAGTACCACTCAGCATCCTGCAGAGAGATACTGTTGTTAAAGCTGCTGGAAGCTGCCGGGGCCGACGACTTGATCGGCTTAGGAGGCAAAGCTGAAACAGAGACAGAGACAGTGAGCGTCACTGTGGAAGCCTGCTTCAGGAGAGATCCCGCTGCCCCAGCCGGGCCGGTGTTATCAGCGGATACCAACTTATCACAGACCTCTCAGGGCCTGAGCGGGCCAACCAGCAGCAGGAAACACAAGTGGAGAAACGTCAAAGATACGTTTCAGAAACAGCGTACATCACAGTCAGTCTCCTTTTCCGCTGCTACATGTCAGGCTCAGAGCTATGTATCATTTCATGCCTCTACAGGCTCGTACACACTGGAATGTACGAGTAATTTATCAAAGCTTTGATTTTACCTGTACAGGCTGCTCAGTAATACACTGGTGTTTTTCTTACCTCAACTTTATTTGATTTCTTTGTTTGTGTTGCATGAAGTTGCTGATGGTGCAAACATCCAATGAAATATACTGTTGTATTTATATATATTCTTTCTTTAACCAGATTAAAAATCACACCAAACTCAGCAACCTCATTTGCAAAGGAGCCCTGACCAAGACAGCAGCAGCAACCATTTGAGTTTTCAGTGTCACGAGCATGAACACAGTGGTTTATAGAACAATAATAACAGTAAATATTAGATGTAAACTGTCCCACTTAGCACAACTCTGGGTCACAGCTCTGCCATCATACAAAGTGCTTTGTGCACAACTGTTTAAGTGAAACAGACTAATACTGACATATTGCTATTAAATCTTGCTATGAGAAAATCCAGAACTGATCAAGCTGTGACGCATCCTAACAGCACTGTAGGAGACAAGGGACAGGAAGCTAACATGAGGCTTCAACAGCTGAGAGGGAATCTTCCAGGACTTTAGTCTATTTAGCATCAAACGTTCTCACTCGGTCTGAGGAACCGAGACTTGTTTAGGCTCTGGTATTAGTGCTGCAGGTCTTGGGTCTGTGTGTCAATAAGTCCTGAATGGATCCAAACGGATCCGAGCACAGTGTTAATTAAAAAAAGTAATTGAGGACAACCTATTTTTTACAATAAATACAAAGTCTTGTATTTGTTGTAAAAAAATAGGTTGTCCTCAATTACTTTTATAATTAAAACTAAATACAAAGCAACAACTGCACTTAATGTATTATGTTATGTCAGTGAATAAAAACTACATGATACAGTGCAAGACAACGCACATGAATCACTGCTGAACTGGTAGTAACTCATAAGGGTCACTGTGACCTTTGACGTCCGACTGTCTACCCATGTAGATTGCAGTGTATCGGTGTCTGCAGACCAACTTCTTGAAAACTGTTCTTACTGGAAAATGTGTTAGAGAAGGGACAAGCTGTGGCCTTGTCCTCTACAGACTACAGGGGAGTGAGTGAGTTTGCTGTCCTTATAAAGGTGGCGTGTTTCTCTGGATGGTACTCAATGTTATCTTTTGTTGATGTTGGCATGTTCTTTAAAACTTGGACAGACTGAGGTGTATAAACCACGACAAACAGATCAGGAGATCAAAACCCACATAACAAGGTGAGCAACCGTACTTAGTGTCTTGACGAGGATTTTAGTTTCCTCTGCTCAGCTGTGGCAATATGATGCCGAAATGTAACCATACCTAACACTCAGAGAAAATATCTTCCAGAAAGAGCTGAAGGAACCAATCAGGATGTTCGCAGGATGACGCATAATTCTGATTTGGGAGGTGTGAGCGTCGGCATCTCTGCGACGGACTTTTACACGGAACACCCTTCTCTGCGTAGGTTTGCAAACAAGTATGTGCAGTATGGGAAACCAAGACTCAGCTTAAAACGGTGATTTCCATTTCCGTTTATGTTTTAAATGATATGATAGAACCTAAAACATGAGCTAAGATCAAATCACACTGTTTCACAAAATGGCTGAAGACATTCAGCATGGCCCTCTACGGTGGCCATCTTCTCGGTACTGGTTCAGACTGCCACCAGGTGCTTGTCCCCTCTAACTGCTCCAGGTTTGGATCTGAGCTCCTACCTGGACTCTGCATGTTAATGTAGCACAGGATCTTCTCCCGTCCTCTGACCGGCTCAGCCTCGGCCCGCCCTCTCTCCTCTCGCTCCATGCCAGTCTCTAAACCTTCGCCCACCTCCACGACACTTTAGACGTGAAACAAAACACAGATCCTTCTTTTCTGGACCTCATTGTCTCCTGCCCACGGCGGAGCGCTCCAGTCCTGCCTCGAAAAATCTGACGTCATAGCAAAAGGAAACGGTCCAGGCTACGTTTTCCTAACTGAGCTCTGTTGTTGTTTGACTGTTCCCCTAATTTCTAAGATGAACTCCAGCGCACTGACAGCTGACACCTGCAGGAGGTCCTGTTTCACAGCTCCCTCTCTGCACCTGCAGGGACCTTCCACATGTTCACCTCTGCTGACGTTCGTCTTTGCATTTGTCTGACAACTGCACTCGTCTTCAGCTCTTTAGATTTAAATCGACGTTACTTTCTCTCCGCCTGTCTCCCTCTCTCTCTCTCTCTCAGCCTCAGTTCAAAGCTCAGGAGAGCAGCTTGGAGATGTGTGACATCACCGCTGCCCCCAGCCAATCCTGCGATGGCAGTGATATCACCGAGGCAACATCCCCCCTCCTCCTCCTCCCTCTCCTCTGCTGCATCTTTCACTGTGTGGATGGATGATGTCATCGTTTCAGCTGCCGCTCAGTCTGACCCCCTGATCAATACAATGACTGCCTGATCAGTACAACGACTGACTGATCATCACAGCGGCTGGCTGACAGCGAGCTGATTGACCCGTTTACCTTGACAGTCCGGTCTAATCTACATGTTGTTGAGATTTGGGAGGCATTAACAGAGAAACATTTGTATTGTCCTGAATCTGATTTGCTGAGGAGAAGCATCTTTGTAGTCTTATTGCAACGTGACGACTCGTCCACATAAAGAGCTGGCGTTTACAGTGGGACCGAATACTAAAACACATAATTTGAGCACTGCTGAAGGGATTTAAACTTTTTAACACCTGCACCACAACAACCCAGTTTCAGTTCCAGTGCCGAAGGAATAGTAGCTTGAAATCCAGCTCAGACAGAAGACAGCACTGACACCGATACACAGCTCTGTTACTGCTGCATCCATGTTGTCACTACTCGTCCAAACAGCTCACTGGATGTATCACATGGTTGTAACAGATCCTACCAACAGAAACACGGTCCAATGGAACGGCCTGTAAAAGGAGCTACGTTTGATTTGAAACTCTTTTCAAACACAGACTCCGGTGTGTGTGGTACCTGGTGCAGCTTGGTTCATGTTGAGCTCACTGGTTATCAGAACCTCCAGGACCTGAACCAGAGGATCCAGACCAGACTCAGACCTGAACACACACACACACACACACACACACACACAGACTCTCTGTCAGATTCAACACACATACACAGGGATTAAAGGGCAATTCAGTTTTGTATAGTGCCCAATTAACAATCATCTCAGGGCCCTTCACATGGTACGGTGTAGACTTTAGTGTAACAGGGAAAACCCAACAAATCCCCAATGACACCAGCATGTGATTCATGAGGTATTAACATGTCTATGTGGTTGTGTCAGCTGTTGTGTTTTGAGGAAGTCAGTAAAACTCCACAAGAGGGGAAAAAAAAGTTATTTTGTAGCAGCTGGCTTTCTATTTCCCATTTTAGGCATCAACAGCTACTGTGTGCGCTTGTTACTGACCCCGCGCTCTGTCTGAACAGCAGTGGGCTGAAGCTCTCCGCCAGGTTTCTGGGGCTCAGCTGGTTTCTGGAGCCATGCAGACACAGACGGGCCAGGTGTCGGACCACGCTAAGCAGGGTCAGGCCATACTGGGCTGGGCAGGCCGGCGAGCTCGCCACCTCCCGCAGCACCTGGGCGCAGTCCTCCAGGTCTCGGACCTCTGAAACAGGAAGATAGTACTGTCAGCAAACACCGACTAAACCGTGAGAGACTGAAATCTTTTGTGAATTATCAGGCCCAGACGAGTGTGTCTGGTATCTACTGACCCTGCACTGCAAGGACCATGTCCCCCTGCAGCATGGAAGGGAGGACAGGACCCGGGAGATCCTGCAGGAACCGAACCACCCCATCACACAGGGACGACACATCCAGCTGCTCCAGGTCTGAAATCAAACACACCTCAGTTTGGGACACTGCAGGTCTCCTCTGAAAACCTGACTGCTCTTCTTCTTCCTGCCTCAGCACACTCCTAAGTCACATGTATAAAATTCCATCAGTAGGATGTTTATTATCATTTACTCTTCACTGTCATCAGATTATATTGAAACAGATTTTCACTCTTTGGTTGTTTCATTTGTGACAAGGTATCTTACTTTTATTTTATATGTTTTGTGTAGTGGAAGTAAAAATTCCATGAAATGTTAATAGTCAAGTAAACACAGGTATGTCACAGTTGTACCGGAGTACAGTATTGCAGTACATAGTTACTGTCCACTATTGGTCTTCAGTCCATCTCCTGTTTACAGATCTATAACTGACATGAGTCAAACACATGTGGCTCCTCACCGGTGTCGGCCAGCTGCCGCGTGTCCACGGCTCCTCCACTTACACTGCGATACACACTGGGACTGTCCAGACCTGCAGCAACAACACAACACGCTATATATGTGCAGTATATCATATTGTTTATTTACAGTGGACAGATGGATGACAACTTAAAGTAACTGACATTAAGTGAACAACAGTGACTTTACCTTTGGTCTCTATGGCCTCCATCAGTCTGCTAAGGAGGGGAGGGGCCGTGTCTGGGGGTCCAAACTGCTCTGCGAGGTCTGGCATCATGAAGCCTGAGGAAAACAAACCCACAACAAACACAAGCTGTAAAACGCACCAGAGTTTGTGTAGCTCCATGTGTGCAGAATACGAGTGAAACTCTCCTGGTGGAATCATCAACACAAAAGACAAAGAAGTGTTAGAACGCATCAATACAAGGTGCATCTCACTCACAAACTTCCAATCTAACACTCACAACACTCCCTGACATGTACAGTAAATACTGATCATTTTCACAAAAATTTATATTCATCTGATTTTCTGTTCAAATTCAGCTTATGTCTGTCTGGATTACCACGATGCAAGAGGCGAGACTGTGATAGTTTTATCAGTCGGTGTTATCAGAAAGCAAATGCTGCTGCCTGTCTGATCAAGTCTGTATGTCCACAAGCACTGAATGACAGGACCTCTGGTCTCACTCCTGTTGGGCCATGTGAGAGTTCTGCTGCATCTCTATGGACCGATCATTACTGTGAAAATGGTAAATGGACTGTATTTATATAGTGCATTTCCACAGTGTGTTACACTGGCCAAAGCACTTTACAGAGATGATACACCATTCACCCATTCACACAGAACATTCACACACCGATGACGACAGCTGCCACACAACGGCACTAATCAAGCCACCGGGAGCAATTCGGGGTTCAGTGTCTTGCTCAGGGACACTTAGGCATGCGGGGAGACCGGGAGTCGAACCACCAACTTGCTGGTCAGGAGACGACTGCCCTACCCCGTGAACCACAGCCACCCCAAAATAAAGCCTCTTTTGTTTTCACAAAAGGAGAATAATGAGGAGAATAATGTTTATTCACTGACAGGATCTGAACCTCCTCAACAACCTAACATTTTTACAATAGGTGCTTTCAGACCAGAGGAACTTTTTCATATTTCTAAAAACTATTGGAAAACGCCTCCCCCCACCAGTCAGCCGGCTTATTGCTACGTCACTTCAGCGTTCCTACTGGCAATGTGAATGCAAACAGAAAAAGACTGTGAAGGTATGTGGTTCTTGAGGGAGCTCCCCAACGAGGTAGTCCCTAGAACATCTGGTCCGAAAGCACCTAATGATCCTAAAGGTAGTACAAGATGTGCTTTTTAACATGAGAGGCTGAAAGCAGCAGGAAGCAGAGGTGGCTCTGTGAAACAGAAAGGTAACAGCGAGAGACTGCGGCCTACCAGCTCCCACAGCACACACACACACACACTGTACAGTAAATCAGGCACACACTCTTCTTGAGAAGAGAACAGCAGCCCTGACTAACACCAGCTGTGTGTGTGTTTGAAACATCTCTGTCTGAGGTTAGACTTCAGACTGTCCATGGAGTACAAAGCAGTGCCTCCTCTGAAGCATGAGTCACACTAAGCCATTTTCAGGCCGCAGATGAAGTGAGTGCAAAATCACACACGAATGGACAAGACAAGTTATAATAAATAAATATAATGATAGCAGCTCCATCAGGCTGTAAGTGGTTAAATGCTGACAATGACAATGCTAACACATTGAACTTAAACAGGTACAACATTAATGCTGGTGAGCTGCATCTCGGGCTCCTGGTCCAACTGCAGCCGAGCAGGGATCCAAACTTTACTGTGAGACACGAGCTGCAGTGGAAGGCTCAACTTGTTTTATTAGCAAGTAGGAGACAGCTCTGGGAACTTGTATTATAAGCTGTCTCACTGAAAGTCAAAGAAACACTCGAAGACCCAGCAGCCCCTCATACTTCCCTCTCACCACTGTATGGTGCAACACCATCACCCAAAAGTGTAAAGCCAGCCTGACTCACCCTCTGACTCAGAGTCAGCCCTCACTGACGCTGCAGAAGGCGGTCTGGGAGGGCGGGGCTTCGGTGTGGGCGGAGACATCCTCTTTCTGCCAACAAACTCCACATAGGTCCCCGGGAAGTCACCCTTCTCCTGTTGGCCAAAGAAGGAAGAGTTACAGCTTGGTCATATGACCAGTTTCAGTTTATAACTATTCACTCCATCTCCTGTCCACAAAAGCCCAAACAATGGGTAAATTCACAAGAATTTCCTGTTTCACCGCAAAGCCCAGCTGGCTTCAGCAGATTCAGCAGAATCTGCAGAACCCCTGTTAGTTTGAAAACATGCAAAGATTTTAATAATTTTTCCCTGCGATGCCAAAGACGTCAGACCTGTCGACATTAGTTTGACATGGACACAGTATTTATACGTTTGTTATTTAAACTCATTCTCAACAACAGAAAGTCATGGACTGTGAGAGATTGTGTGCATGTGGTGGAAGGGTGCAGCAGCAAACCCTCAGAATGAATTTTACATGACTGAACATTTTTATCTAGCGTATAGTGATTTCTGGGATGTAAATGTATCCTTACAGATAGTGACAAATTACAGGAAGAACCTAAATAACTGAGCGGTCTCCTCCAGGATCCACAGGATATAAGGGGTCACTGACTGGTCTGATGAGGATGACCATGATCTGAATCAGATGCTGTGGCCTTCCCAGTCACCAGGTCTCAGCCCAGTTGAACAGCTATGGGAGATGTTGCAGCGTGTCCACCACCATCATCAAAACACCACATGAGGGAACATCTGTTGGATGAACAGTGATCATCCCTTATCTAACGGTGTCCGTTATCGCACTTCCAACAACAAACTGCAGCATCTCTCTCATACTTCAATCACCGTTACCATAGAGATGTCTCTGCTAGAGAGTCTGACCAGACCGAGATGATGGTGATTAAAATGTTCTACGTCATATAACTGATAAAAACACCAAACATCTGCTGACCACAGCCTCATATATTTTACTGCTTTTCTCAATTCCACACCTTTTTAACAGGGTATTTTAGGTTTTGTGGTTATTGTTGAGACAAAATGCAGAAGAACTAATCAACCATGAACCAACATGAGGTGATAGGACTCCTGACACAGCTGCAGCATGATACCTAAGAGACAACCCGAGAGACACCAAGTCTGTAGCTGTCAGGATGTGACAAGCCACAGTGTGAACTGCTACAGACCATCAACAGGAAAGCGCTCATCATGTTCCTCCAGTGAAGAGCGAGAGCTCTGTGGTTCACTGTTTCCTCTCACTGGCTAAACACATTACTAGGAAACTTCTAAGAGTTTCTGACTAAAGCTGAATGTGACTTTGATCTGACAAACTAGTTTGCCTAGGAGAATGATGCCTCTCACCCAGTGCATGCTGGGACCTTTTCCTGAACAGACAGCTAGTGTTTGAAGCTGGCCATGTAAGTATGAGGATGTATTATAGACTGTATATAAACATGGCCGACACGTCACCACTTATTGTCACTATGCAAAAGTGAAGCCAGAAGATGGTGAACACGGCGGCTGCCAACTTGCTCATATTATACATTTTGCAACTCTACACAGCAGCATCCAGAGGTGCAGCTGCGGTATCAGGCTGCCAATCATCTGAAACATACCTATTTATATATCACCAAGTAAGGTATTAAAAACAACCTCACCAGAAAACCAACCACTTGTTCACAAATCAGTGTGATAATATTCACTTAGTTTATGAGACTGTCATGACTCAACGTAGCTAACATAGCAGCTTTCATCTACATTCGTTTATAATTAACACACATTTTTTGTGTACATTGTAACAGCTCATTTTCCACAAAGAAGACACTTTTCACATCATGCAGTCTGATCTGAACCACTCACAACAAGTAGCATTTATACATTCTTCATACAGCTTTAATAAGCACAGCCTCTGGCTTCGCTAGGACAGCCAGAGCCCAGTCCACTAGACCACGTGTGACCAGGTGTACCCTCGTTCATCAGCTCTGAGAGTCACCAGGTGTCTCTAACCAGTCGGTCAGGCGTCCTACCTGTGTGGTCTCGTTGAAGCCCGGCAGCCAGCCGATCTCTGATGGCCGCTCTTCGGCTCCAGAGCTGCAGCCAAGCACCAGCAGCGCTCCTTTACTGACCAGCAGCATGTCGCCAACGTGCAGGTCAATGTCTTCCTCCCTCTCCTTCTTGTAGTCGTACAGCGCCCGGTACTGGAAACCCTCAGAGGTCATAGTGACGTCTGCTGCCAACAGCCAAGTGTGGCTTCAGAATAATTAACAAAAAAAGCTCTGAAGAAAATTACAAAAATGGTTTACTCTTATCCAAAAGGAGTCTAATGTGGAGACTCTACACTAAGTAAATACAGCGTTTCCCTCAGCGTGTGTCTCCCCTGTCTCCATGTCTGCTAACGTCCTGTCATCCCTCCAGGCCGAGCCACAGCCGCTCGATCACAGTGTCCTCGCCATTCATGAGCAGGAATCTCAGCAGAGGTAGCGGCCACATCTGGGAAAGTGACGGATCAACCTGAGAGACGAGAGGAGGTTGAAGTTTAATGAAACAGCTGCAGCAGCACATGGTGACAGGATTCACAAGAAGGTGAAACAGTTAGTGAAGAAACAAAGACAGGAGGACTTGACTCTTCTTAATAGAGCATGTATTTCTAAACCTTTTTTTGTCAATGAACAAAGGTATCAGAAATGTAAACACACTTAGCCACACATGAAATTTCCCTAAATAAAATTGTGCAAAATCACGATTTAACCAGGATAAAAAAGGCACGTGCAGAAGAGGTTACAATTTGCCAAAGAACACGTCAACTGGCCTAAAGAGAAATGGAGGAACATTTTGTGGACTGATGAGAGTAAAATTGTTCTTTTTGGGTCCAAGGGCTACAGACAGTTTGTGAGACGACCCCCAAACTCTGAATTCAAGCCACAGTACACAGTGAAGACAGTGAAGCATGGTGGTGCAAGCATCATGATATGGGCATGTTTCTCCTACTATGGTGTTGGGCCTATTTATCGCATACCAGGGATCATGGATCAGTTTGCATATGTCAAAATACTTGAAGAGGTCATGTTGCCTTATGCTGAAGAGGACATGCCCTTGAAATGGTTGTTTCAACAAGACAATGACCCCAAACACACTAGTAAACGAGCAAAGTCTTGGTTCCAAACCAACAAAATTAATGTTATGGAGTGGCCAGCCCAATCCCCGGACCTTAATCCAATCGAGAACTTGTGGGGTGATATCAAAAATGCTGTTTCTGAAGCAAAACCAAGAAATGTAAATGAATTGTGGAATGTTGTTAAAGAATCATGGAGTGTAATAACAGCTGAAAGGTGCCACAAGTTGGTTGACTCCATGCCACACAGATGTGAAGCAGTTATAACAAACTGTGGTCATACAACTAAATATTAGTTTAGTGATTCACAGGATTGCTAAATCCTAGAAACAAAAACGTTTGTACAACATAGTTTTGTGTTTGTACAGTCAACGGCAGACACTGCTATTTTTTTGAACACACCCCTTTCAACTAATTGCCCAATTTCACAGCCTTAAGAGCGTGCATATCATGAATGCTGGGTCTTGTTTGCTTTCTGAGAATCTACTGCACCTACTGGTAACTTGTTTGCCATGTAGCAATAAAAAATATACTAAAAACCTGGATTATTCTGGTTAGTCACATTGTACTGCTATTATTTTGAACAATACTGTATCAGCTCAGATCACAAACCATCAAGACTATGAATGTGACAGGCATTTGCTGTTTTCAGTGCCTGGTGCAGTGGACACACCTTCGACGAAGCCTGAAGTCAAACACTGCATGGTGTTAGCAGCAACCACATATAAACTCACTCTCTTTATACATTTGCTCTCACACAGTACTCCACACAGGGTTTCCCCAAGGAAGTTGCTCAGAGAGTTGGTGAGCAAGCCTGATCCTGATGCATCTTGTCATTCATTTGAAGATTAGAACCTAAACAAGACTTTTTTAAAATTCTATGTTCATGTTTTGTTTTGTGACAAAGGTATTCATTTGAGGATGAGAAGACATTATTGGTAGAGATGCATCGATCAATCGGCAGAGATCGTAAACAGCAAGTTTTCAGGGTGCCCGGCCGATCACTGATTCTGTCCTAATCAGATTTCGAGGGATGATAGTTCACACCGTGCACGCAGTGGCACAGACAAAAAGTGTGGCATGTGCTGCGCGTAACATGCTACCTGTTTGGAGAAGTACAAATACCTCACTTCATTTTTAGTTGGAGGTTTGTAAAAAGAAAAAAAAGTAAAGAAATGAACAAATGTAATATTTACTTTGTATTATATTTTTAATTTTCATTAAAGAAAAGTTGCAAAAATTTCTGTGCATGCTGTTAATTACAATTCAATACAAGAAAATTGCAATCAGTGCATCTCTAATTGTTGATCTTCATTTATCCAACCTGTTACTGACGCTCAGACTTTGTCCCATGTGCAGAAAAAGCCTGTTTTTGTAACAGCTAACTATATTTTTTATGAAGAAGTTGCTTCAACACTTACATTTATTTATTTATACGTTCCTTTCATCTGTGCTGTGGTTTGTTCTGGCAGAATAAGAATGTGACACTTTGATTTATGGTCATCGATATCATTCCATTAAAACTGGTAACGTAACGTTAATTTGGTGAACAGCCCCGTTTACGTGAAGTATTAGACACTTTCTAAAAAGTTCAGTTTTAAAAAAAAATCGAGACCTAGACTTCACACTCATCTACATTCCTACAACAAACCAGTGACTCTAAAACTAACGTTAGAAAACAGCAATAAAAAAAGCAGAGACAGTGAAACCTTGTAGGAAACGGGAAACGACAATATATGTCAGTGTTAGCTTAGCCTGCTAGCTTCTTTCACTCGCCCCATCAGCTCACCTTTTTGATTTTTCACCAACAAAAGCCTCCAGCAGAGCAAACAGCGGGCGTCATCACGGAACAACGAACACACACGACGTCCAGACAGTGTCCAAACCTAAAATACCCCCTTATTGTACAGATTAAATCCAAAACAAAGACACTCGTAATCCGCCGACTGAATTTCAGATACTGGGTTGACATCAAGCTACTGACGACTGACAGCATTTCCGGTACGTACTACCACAGTAAAATTGGTTTTATAGTACTGTATTTCATCAACAGACACTGAACATAAAAGTTCGATTAAAGAGAAGTGATTGGTTTTTAAAATAAATCTAGAATTTAAATCAAATGTTTAATCGAAAGCCTACTGTACCGATACCGATTTTCTTTCTGAAGCATGTTATACAGCAGTGACAGGTCGTCACAGTTCAGGTTCCGGATTGCCTTCAAAATAAAATACCTCTGTCGAGCATCTTAACTAGTATTAACACGTGTTAACACGTGCACTAGCGAGGAAATAATACAATTTTAAGGGAAAACGTTTAAGATAAGAGGACAAGCTCGGGCTTTCCCAAACTTTTCTATTTAGCGTCAAAATGCCATAAAGGTGGACCTGAACAGATCACAACTTCTGGGCAGGGCGCCAGCTACAACGTCACGTCCGGTAGCTTAGATTTTAGTACAGTATGCGGTGCTGTCAAAACACGGGACCCTAGCAACAAAGGAGAGGGTGGGTGCATCCATGCTGTCCTCATCCATCCAGGTCTTATGCAAACATCACTGTTTGAAAATGTCTGTGAAATGTTCCAGCATTTTTTTCTGACCTCTCCATCACGATTTCTGCATTTCCAGAACAAACTGCACATGACATGCATGACTGTACATACATCACCACAGGCATGTCATTAAAAATATTAAACCTTTATTTACCCCAGACAGTGAAGGGAAAGTCACAACATTGTAAAATTTATAAATACACATACTGCAATGTTGCACAAAATGACTAAATGTGTTTGTGGAGTCACTGTCTCTTAGTTCAGTCCATTAATGAAGTAAATTTGTATAAATATTAATGAAGTTCTGCACTTGAGTGCTAAATGTAAATAACACCATGGAGATTTATAAAACAGGTTTGTAGACTGTGAAAATGTTGCATTTAAATACAATATCAATGCTGAATAAATGGAGTGAAAATGTGTTTAAAAACAAGCACACAAGTATCCTGACTGTGATCGGTGTTTTTAGAGTATACTGGGGATAATGAAGGAATCTGGGCTGTTTATGACCAAAGTCAAAGCTCAAAACATAGAAAGGGTGAAACTGTCAAATATGAGCACAAACCAAAAACCATAGTTTTATCACTAGATGCAGAGAAAGCATTTGACAAAGTTAACCAGACATTTCTCTTTTGTACATTACACAGATTTGGGTTTGGAGAGTCGTTCATCCATTGCATAAGAACACTGTACACGTCACCTAGGGCAATAAGTACAAATGTGATCCATTCACAAAGTTTCATTTTACAGCAGGGTACCAGACAAGGATGCCCACTCTCACCATCTCTATTCGCCGTTTTCATCGAAACTCTCGCAGAAGCTATATGACAGAACAATATAATTAAAGGGATACAAGATATTTACTCAGAACACAAATTAGTCTTTGCAGATGATTTATTATTATATTTACAGGATCCCTATAATTCTCTACAGGAAACGTTACATATTATTAACACATTTTCTAAGATCTCAAACTACACAATAAACTGGAATAAATCCACCATACTACCACTCTCTGAGGATGCCTGGGATTCTGCAGCTCAAGACTCCTCCCCCCAATTCTGCACAGGCAACATTAAATATCTTGGTATTAATATCTCTCCCAGGCTGTCAGAACTTTTTAATCTCAACTACACCCCCCTGCTAAAAAAGATAGATGATTTTAAACGTTGGTCCAATCGTCCTCTCTCTCATCGGTTGCATAGCTACTGTCAAAATGAAAACTCTACCTCAAATCAACTATCTGTTTACAATGCTTCCCACAACACCCACAGATAAATAGTTTAAATCACTTGATTCTTTAACTTCACAGTTTTATTGGAAAAACAAACCCAAAATTTCTCTATCTACACTCCAAAAGAAGAAATCACTAGGTGGCCTAGAAGCACCAAATTTCCAATATTACTACTCGGCAAATCAGCTACAGTATTTAGTCAAATGGATTCAGAAGGACAGCTACAACAGTGCATGGATAGAATTAGAGCAAAATTATTCCAAAAATAACTCAAATAACTCAGTTGCAGACCTTCCTTTTCTACCAAAGTCTTAAGAAATTGAATTACTGTAAGAACATCACAATCCTCTCAACTCTGACAGCCTGGTGGAAACAAAATCACTAAATCATCACTTGCACCATGTAGATACACTCCAATTTGGCACAACCCTGATTTCCAACTGCATAATAACCCTATCTATTTCCCAATATGGCAACACAAAGGAATCACTCACTTACATCACCTATTTGAAAATAACCACTTCATATCATTTAATACACTGATCCAGAAGTACGGAGCCCAGAGAGAACAGTTCCTCCAGTACAATCAGCTAAAATCCATAATTAAATCAAAGATTAGTGTAACCAATAACCCACTACAGCCTTCCCAGTTAATTGAAGAAATTATGAAAATTACATCCTCCAAGAAAATAATATCCAAGCTATATAAACTCATATCAAATACAGATTCAACAATAACAATACCAAAACTCAAATGGAAAAACGATTTAACTCTCTCTCTCAACTCCAACTTCTGGACAGAAATTTGCAATAACATCTTTTCTATGACCAGCAATGTAAACTTACAACTTAAAAAATACAAGACCATTTATAGGACTCATATTACAGAAAGTTCAAAATGGGTTTTACCGACACAGACATCTGCTCACAATGCATTCAAGATTGCAATACCTGGGGCTGAGGCCACGCACATTCCCACCAACCTCTAAAATGTAACAAGCTGATTTTATTAGTAGTACTGTTATCATTATTATTGGGAATTTTTTATTTATTTATTACCCCTCCTTTTCCCTTTCTTGCATTTCATAAACTGCATAAGTTGGAAATACCCACACTTCACACACTACAACCTTGTTAACACTCTATATCCTTTTGTAATGTCATGTAACTGTTGTCTTGTCTCCCATGTTCGGTACTGTTTTGTTAATGTGTTACTTTGTTTCAATTAAAAAAAAATATGAGCACAGATGTTTTAGTATTAACATTCTTCACAGTCCAACAGTTTCTTTGTCCATCCTCAGCTGATGAAGTCACTCGGTGCAGAAAGGCAGGCGTGGCTGACGTAGACATACTGTAGGAGACAGACCTGCATGTGATCATGTAAACAGGAAGTTAAATAACCGGTGGTCAATGTTAATGTCACACCCGGAGTAGGATTCAAACCAGGATACTAATGTGCATGTGAACATGCTCACTGTTTATTGTTAAAATGGCAAAAGAAGACTGGCTGGAGAGTGCTGTCACCGCCCCCCTGTGGCTACAGTGTTTATTACAGACACACAATAAATAGTAATCATATCTAAACCTGGAAATCTGTTTGTTATATTTGTAAAACCCTAAGTGACCTTATCCTTCTCTACATGCTGAAGATGTTTCCCAGTGTGCGAACCGACAAGCTAATCCTCCCTGACAGCTGCAGTTCATCCTTCAGGAAACGCCCCACCTGCTCCGAGTAGAGAACATCACAGAACACCCAGATCTCCGCCCGCTCTCTCTGGATGTTGGCGTTACATGTTGGCAGCCTGGAGCTCTGGATGGACCGGCTCACAGTGTGCCACACCTGGAGAGAGGAGGACCATCAGGTGAGGAAAGAGGGAAGGGGGGAGTGAGGAAGACAGTGAAACAGAAAATGAAGATTTATTATTTTTGTTATTATTTTATCTTTTGGTGTGCTCCGGCTTCCTCCCACAGTCCAAAGACATGCAGCTTAGGTTGACTGGTAAATTGCCCATAGGAGTGAGTGTGGGTGTGTGTGGTTCTTTGTCTACATGTCAGCCCTGTGATAGACTGGTGACCTGTCCAGGGAGGACCCCACCTCTTAAATAAAAATCCAGTAAACTGGTGCTGAGATGCATTTTTCCTCAGTCTGCATACAGAGGTAGTTAGCACAATGGAAAAACAAACTGAAGGACGTAAATAAAGATCCACAGTCATGTCAGACTGAAACAGACACAATGATGTCAGTGTTTACAGCACATCTCTGACCATTTCCAGGAGAGTTTCTCTCAGAGTAACGCCTCTGTCCCTCCAGGACCCAGCAGATGTTTTTCTGTGACTGTGTCACACATTTAGGAGTTTAAGGCTACAAGCTGAAGACATCAGATTTTTCTGTCACTCCACTAATCCTTTCAACTCTATCTCTGATAAATGGGTTCCACATTAGTAAGCAAACATTTGAGGGAAAAACAATTGGGCTGCAACTTGTGATTATTCATTTTCAATGCATCTGTGAATTATTTTCTCAATTCACTGTATGGTCCATATAATGTCAGAAAAAATGAAAAATGTCCTTCACATTTTCAAAGTCCAAATAGACATATTCAGTCTGGTTCTGTTCGACCACAACTCCAAAGCCCAAACATATCTGGTTTAATATCACAAATCGCAAAGAAAACCAGCAAATGTTCACAGTTGAGAAGCTGGCACCTGCATTTTTCCAGCCTCACAGAGCTGCTAACATGGCAGTGGCCTCTTTGTTCTGGGACTGACCTGTTCAATGCCTCTGGCCGCTCCACAGTTGTGCTCACTGATCACCCACTTGACCCTCTGGCGGAGGTGGAGCCTGTGGGTGGACACCATGTGATGGAACTGCTTGGACAGAGACTGGGAGCTCTGCAGCAGGACTCCTCTCTGAGTAAAGACACTCCAGGACCGTCTGATGGGCGAGTCTGTGATGGTGAAGCCATCTTTGTTGTTTTGTGTCCATTTTTTAGGAGAGAGTCTGGTGACACCTCTCTCTGGTTTGTCACAGAGGGATGCGGGGAGGAGGTGATCTGATGTTGGAGGAACACAGGCGGCATCTTTATTTTTTTGTGGATTTACAGGTGTAGTTCTGATTGTCCCTGCACGTGGACGATCATGACGTTTCTCAGGAACAAAGCTGTCATCACTGGGTTGTAGTCTGCTTTCTGAGAGGGTTTTAACCTTTGCTGCAGCTGTGTCAGTGAGCAGCCTGTTATCAGAGACAAATATATCACCTGAGAAGGTGATGACAGGAGCAGGTTTGGCAGGTCTGATAGGCAGCCGGTGGCCTGCGGTGGAGGTGGGGAACCAGGGGGTAAAGACCAGAGGAGTCCGACAGGGGAAAGGTTCCAGAAGTTTCTCTGCCCTCTCTAACAGAGAGCTGAGCCCAGCAGCTGATCCAGGCTGATAGTGCAGAACCACATCCTCCATACACATTTATGGAGTTCAGCGAACTGACTGCACCAGTATCCTCCGCCTCATGATGTCAGTTCAGTCTGACACGAAGCATTGCTGGGCCTGTGGAAATCCAGATGGAATACAAACTCATTTTACATTTACTTCAGTCTTACCCTGGTTATAGTCATTACATCCAACTGACAAAGCTAAACATCTGGAACCAGCTGCACCAGCTTGGTTGTAGGTTCAAATCCAGCCTACTTATAAAGTTTTTACTCATCATTAATTAACTAAATCATATAAACTACTTCTTAACTACAGTTTAGAGTTAAGAGTATAAGAAGTGATATGAAATGTGGTTGACATATTTGACCTGACATTTGACTGAGATGCTAAATAAAAGACTTAAAGGCTCCACTCCCTAATCGATGTTAAATAATACACAGTAACATTTGGCATGGTGTCACCTCACAGCAAGAAGGTTGGAGTCTGCATGTTCTCCCTGTGCCTGCGTGGGTGGGTTCTCTCCGGGTACTCCGGCTTCCTCCCGCAGTCCAAAGGCATGCAGCTTAGGTTGAATGGAAACTCAAAACTGTCTATAGGAGTAAGTGTGAGCGTGTATGGTTGTTTGTCTACGTGTCAGCCCTGTGATAGACTGGCGACCTGTCCAGGGTGTCAGCTGGGATTGGCTACACTGGGGGTTCAGTATCTTGCCCAAGGACACTTCGACATGTGGACTGCAGGCACCGAAATTCGAACCTCCGTCACTCCGGTTGGGAGACGACTGCTCTACCCATTGAACCACAGTCGTATATTATTCTTGTATACAGGTCTTTAAAAAATCCCTATCGCAATTAGAATGCATATTTAAAATAATTACATACAAAAAGAAAAAAAACGTCACAGACTGGGGTGTTAGTTGTTTGTTTGTTTGTTTTTTTACCAGTTTACACAGGAGTGTTGTACTGTATCTACAGATGTCGCAAACCTACATGATGTAAAATCTGTGATGTACAGGGTCAAATCCGTCTTATAATAATCTGCTGCCACCTTGAGACATATACCACACAGTGGATTCTTTCCTGAAGACTGATTTTCTATTCGCAGTTGTAAAATTGCTTTACAAGAAACGCAATAAACATGATGCAGCGTTAATATGAAAACAATTGGGTAAGCTAGCTAACCAGAGCTAAATGAAAGAACAATATAACATATAGTGAGGACAAAAACAAAGAAATCCAAATAACTTAAAGACAACCAGACAAAATCCAGAGCAACATCTTAACTAAAGTCTAACTTGTTTTATGCAGACATCTAAACTCCCCCTCACCGGTAGCTAATGTTTTTAACTTAGCTTTAGCCTGCTATTAGCTGACAACGGCTAGCTATTAGTAGCTAAACACAATTAACCAGCTACAGAAACAGACACGAAGCTAGAAGACAGTACGCTCTAACAAAACAAATAAACACAAAATTCCAACCTTATATGAGCTTGAAGAGTTCCTCTCTTAAAACACCCATCAAGGAGTTAACTTTCAAGGAAGCTGACATTGAGATTTCTGTGCGCTTCCCGCAAAATATCGCGATAGTCAACGTAAAGTCCGCGAACCAGGCCAGGGAAGTGCATTTATTGTGATAGTCAAGTTACTTCTGTCCATTTAAATAGGCTGAAGCTTTAACTTTCTACTTGTTTCAATAAATACAATGTAACATTTGTAAAAAACACAAAAATCAAACTAATGAATGACACCGAAGCAGCACAATAGTTTGTCAATAGGACATTTTATTTCATACGTCTGTTGTCTTTATTCAAATTACAGTAATATACTTGCTGAGATGACCACCGACTGCAGGCTGGACAGCTAAAACTGACAGCTGTACTAGTTGAAGCAAAGTTTTTCCCTTATTTCCCCTCAGTTTTTAAAATGATCTTGCAACAAAAAAAAAAGCACATACTGTATGTCATGTGATGTGTGTTTGTGTTGACGTCAGGTAGGTCAGGTTATAGTGCCGGTCCTTAATAGAAAGAGGAAAAAAAAAAAAAAAGAGAAAGAAAAACAAAAACAGCAGAAAGAAAGTTCTTGCACGTTGTATTTGAATATGGCACATTTGGTCCACGTTGGTAGTTTTCTCATTTTCAAACATCTAATAAACAAAAAAAGGAAAACAGATCATCATAGTTGTTGCACAGCATTAATGACAGCATACTGAAAACAACTGCAGAGGGGGCCGCTCTCTTTTTGTAAAAATCTTGATTCATCAGCCAATCGTTTGTTTCTATTCTCCCTGGAGCAGTATCATCACTATTATCAATATCTTTGTTCCATCCAAAATGAAAGGGTGGGAAGAAGGTGCAGGGGGTGGAGCTTCGTGGGTGAATGACAGGGGTGACTTTGGACATTCACAGGAAGTAGTCAGGAGTGCGTCTGGTCACGTGAGGCTCACCACGGCGTGGGGCTGGATCAAACTGAAGGCTGAAGAGGCAGAAAAGGTTAGTTAGTAATGACGTCAATTTATTAATGACCACAGAAATGAACATGAAGATGCATCATCTGGTCTGTGAGACTCTTGCTGCCATTTAGCAGCAGGGTTCAGTTCACACAGTAGAAAGGACTGTAGCTGTTGCTCTCCTCCACATTTACTGTTACCAGTCTGTGAGGGACAACCAGGTTGTGTGTGCAACAGTCAAATGGCCCAGTTTCCTCCCAAACTGCTGGGTTATGAATATGTTCCTCCCAGTTTTGCCTGATCAGAAGCTTCTCCATAAACGTCCAGCGTATGTGAAATGTCCCGGTCTCTCCACTGACCCCGTCACTGTCGTCGCTCTACTCCATGTTTATTGTTACCGGTCTGTAAGGGGCCGACGCCGAAAGATGACGACAGTCCGTATGTGCAGAGGAGGAGACGTTAAAACGACCATGGATTCTGATCTGACTGTTCCGACAGCGCTGCACAGTCAGAGGTTGGAGAGGAATCGGATCTAGGGGCACATATGAAGGTGGCCCAGATCTGGTCTGAGGACATCTGGTTTGGTCTGTTCACACTGCTGTGGACACACCAGGTCTGAGACACTGGGAAGGAAACTGCAGCTGGGACGTGACTGAAGCTTTAGATGCTTTTACACTTTGTTAAGCCTATTTTAAAAAGTAGAGGTTTTCACACAGATCTATGGAGAGGCTTCACTGAAATATTTGGTATTTAAAGTAGCACTAACTACTAGTAGCAGTAACTCCCCGGCATGGCAGCAAGAATACATCTCACACACCGTGAAATAACTACAATTCTAATGACATAAACCGAGTGTATCACCCAGGCCCACCTAAATGTAGACAAACATCAAGGGCTCAATAAAGTACCTACCTACCCTACCTACCTTCTCCAATGTGCTGATACTTACAAAGAGTACTTCAGAGTGTCGTCCAGTTCCATGATGGCTGCCTGGTTTCCACAGCGGTAGCAGTAGTTTGGAGCACTAAAGATGGTCACCACATTCTTGTCATGGCCCCAGTTGTAGCCCTGAACACACAACACACAGAGTTTCAGTCACAAGTGCTTCCTGACCATAGACACATGACAGGTTTCACTCTCAGACCACCAGAACACAGAGGAGGTCTTCTTCAGTGAAAAGGACGTGTGGGAACAACTGTCTATGAAAATACTGAGATGTGTGCACTCATAACACCCCTGTGAGACTGGTCTGAAGTGGGTGAAACTACCAGTTAATGAATACATTTAATAAACTGACAATCATATCATGCTCCTTACAAAGACTGATAAAAAGATTGTTTATTCAGTAACAAATTTGGTGGTTGGGGCTTCTGACAGAGGATTTCCCACTTTGTTTTTATTTCAAATATTGTGTTGCATTTGTGTGTTTTTTCAGCCTGTGTTTTGGGCATTTGTTGATATGTCTACCATGTTACTGGCCAAAATATTAAATTAATGATCAAGATAAAAATCAACAGAAGGCTCTAGGCTCACCATCTTATTGAATGTGATCTGGACAGTGTTTTACTGGCTAGTGTTACTGGCAGGACAAATCATACAATGCTTTACTCCTCTATCACCTCCAGATTATCAAGGATCTCTCTGCAGTAGTGTGTGTGTGTGTGTGTGTGTGTGTGTATGTATACCTATGGGACAATACTGCTACAGAAACACTTCAACTAACAGTCAGTCAATCTCAATAAAACGCAACTGAAACTTTCCTGACACAACTAGCTGTGTCATGTATAAAGATTTATTTCATCTCAATCCGCACTGGATTACAACAATTCCACCTTTTCCTCATTTACAAACACAAACTGTTTCAATGCTCAGTTTGTTGCAGCTGCTGTCTGGACCTCGTGTGAACAGCCTGTCAAGTACAGAGACTCCCGCTGAACCACAGTGGGTGGGAAACGGCAGCAGGAGCAGGGCCGAGCATCACTGCACCCTATAACTGCTCATTATATTTTGTTACCATGGAAACAGTGAGATTTCTAGGATCCTTCCATCCACTTGTGTGTGTGAGCCAACTTGACTAAAATAAACTCCAAAGAACTAAGGCTTCAAACCTTACGTGTGCATTTGTTTGTGCTTCTCCATCTGTACTCGCCATCACTCCAGAAAACATTTTAGGATATCTAAATGTTTTAATTAATAACTGTGGGAATTATAAATCACTGAGCTGCTGCTGATGTCAGCACTACAGCAGAGCAAAAAACGTTTGCAAAGTCATGCGCATTACATACAGATGGGTGACAGGTGAAAGGAAAAAGCACCATAAAGTGAACAAGATTCACACATTGTGCGTGTTGCTGTGTCCAGCCTTTAATGTGCATGTTTCAGGTGTACAAAACATCTGTCCACAGCAGCACATTTAGTGTCTGACTTGTTTAGCAGCACATGCTGCGAGTCTGTGCAGTCTGTGCACGTTTGCTTTACCTCCATGACCAGCTGATGGGCGCGGGACACTAGGGTGAGGCCGTTGGCGTGGTTGAAGGTTTCAGAGATGTCCTGTCCAAAGGTGTAGCCAGCACCTCGAGGGGAGATCCCCCACCCACCACGATCATCGGGGTCTGACCACAGCAGGTCACACATCGGGCCCTGACAGTGTGCACGAGAGAGTCACTACTACAGCACAGCGCATGACATTCATTTGTTTTATCACCTCTACGAAACATTCCTGGAATGACATCCTGGGTTTCAGCATTTAGCTGTGTGTGTGTGTGTGTGTGTGTGTGTGTGTGTGTGTGTGTGTGTGTGTACCTCATGTGGGACTTCTTGCAGGCGGTCCAGGGCTCGTATGTGATCCAGAGTGTCTATGGAGGGAGACAAACCTCCATGGAGACAGAAGATCTGACACAAAAATAAGAGCATATAAAAGGTATCATGAACATGAGATGCATCTGCAGCTTGAAAGATTTTAACTCTACCTTCTATGTCAACACATATTTAAACCAGTGGCTATCAAACTGGAGGTTGGGGGGCAGGACACCAGGGGGAAAATTTGTAGCTCATCAATAATCTATAGACAAAGGAACAGTAACCAAACCAGCGTGCTCGTTGTGGAGCACTATGATAAAGGGACCTGGAAGTTAACCTCAGCCTGTTCAGCAGTGACATCTTATATCAGAGATGTACACCACAGGACAGAATGAGGATGCCGTTTCCCTGGCCGGCACTCCTACCTGTCCATCGACCAGCGCGGTGAGCGGCAGGTAGTCGAACAGGTCTGTGAAGTACTTCCAGACGTTGGCGTTGCCGTACTTCCTCAGGCACTCGTCGTAGAAGCCATAGACCTGTGTGATCTGCCGCGATTCGTGGTTCCCTCGCAGGATGGTGATTCTCTCCTGGAAACGAACCTAAAAGAGTAACACAAAAAATTAACTTAGAGGGCTGTGGATCAGTGACTTTCCCTCGGGACCAACAAAGTATTTACATTTAAGTCTGATCAACTGTTTGGATAATCAATTTATCATTTGAGCCACTTTCAATGAAAAATGCCAAATCGTCTTGAGTTTCATTTGTGACAGTGACCTAATTATCTTTGGCTTTTGGCTGGACAAAAGAAAACATCTGAAAATCTGGCAATGTTGCTAAAAATGGTTTAGATTCTCAAACTATTTAATTTTCTGTCAGTCGTGGAAGCGGAAACCATTAAATTGTTTTAATCAAAACTGACAATTACTTGATTATCACAATAACTGATGATAAACTGTCCATTAACTAACCAGTTTGAATTCAGACAAAACGTAACATCTTTCTCACCTTTGGCTCTTATGAAATCACCACACTGAGACTCGGTTAGGCACAGTTATAAAACCCTCCCCACTCATCCGTGTCCAGATCTACCCAGTGTGTGTGTGTGTGTGTGTGTGTGTGTGTGTGTGTGTGAGAGAGAGAGAGAGAGAGAGAGGGAGACCACCCCTCTCCTACCTCATTCCTCTCTGTCAGCCGATGTGAGCTCAAATGCCACAACATCACATTTGTGCAAACACATTTATGTCACAGTAAAACATCACAGTACAACTATCAACGCAGTGACTACCTCGTGTCCCAGTCACAGGAGCATGTATTCAGAGGGACGGACGCTTCTGTCAAACTAGAAGTCAACTTTATGAAGCTGCGGAGGATCTACCACGTCTGTTCACTTTGGTTTGAGCAAAGTCAGGTTCAGAGAAGTGGCAGATTTATTTTATTTTTTTTAAGTGGAAAAGAGATTCAGCCTCCAGCTCATCAGTTTTGTCTCAACTAACAAAATGTCAGTGGCCACAGCCTCTACTGATCAGACACTGACCAGACCAGCTCAGGGGCCCTTATACAACACTTTGTTATAGGTAGAGATTAAAGCACAACTCAGTGCTGGATGCTTGGATGTCTCTTGTCAACTGAACGTGACTTTGCAAGATGCTTCAGGAGGAATTTGACAAAACCACTACCATGTTTTTTTCTGTCTGAAAACCAGCTGCAAAGACCAGTAACATCCCTGTGAGAGGCATGGTCATCCAGTCAGGTGTGTCCGACTGACCACAATGACAGAAGCGAAGACTGCTCTGGATTATCAGACACGAGCCATCAGAAACAAAAACCAAGCTATCACAGCATAACAGGACTGATAACCGGCCCAGGAGTAACACACCCAGGAGTAAGTGTTTCCTCTAAGAAATTACATGCGTTTCAGTCAGAAACTATGGCTGATGAAACAACATGGAGCTCAGTCAGTAAACAGCTGCTAGTTCAGGAGCAGGGTCGACGGACGACTGCGTCTCTGGGCTGAACATGTTCCAACGGGTCGAATAGGCCCGTCGCCTTTTCCTGAATGTGAACCACAGCTGGTCTGCGCAGGAGGTGTGTCAGGCACACCTCACACGTAACCAACACAGCTGATCATCTTTTAATTAGTCCAGGTACACAGTCAGGTAACTACTTGCATTTTTAACAAGAAAGTTCCTCATCGACTTCAGAGAGTCAGCTTGTGGTGTGACTGAACCGTCTGTCACACTGAACACACACTCCTGTGATTTGGACATAATGTAGTCAGTGTATTCAGTGTTGACAGTTTTACTGTGAAGTCATGTTGCGTTATGAACATATCTGTACAAACATGATGGTGAGACGTGTGAGCTGACAGGAATGTATGAGGGGAAGGCAGATAACAGCGCTGTGGGTACAGCTTCAGATTTTTACACTAATCCTTGTACTGAAGAGCAGGGCTACAGGAGGAGGAGGAGTCTGGCCTGGTGGCAAGTTTCATACACAGGATTAGGTTCAGGTGTGAAGCTTTCCTTCCTGCTGCTGAGAACCCTGTGGGTATATGGGAAACCCGCCAGCAATAACTCTATAATAACCAAAGACTGAGGTTCTCTAGTGCTTGTGTCCAAGTGCACATTATGACACAGCTGCCCAACAGTACTGGATTACACACAATTCTTTACATGCCGGTAACAAACCAGTGTGACCTGGGCCCAGGTACGCAGGAGAGAACCAGTGTGTTAATACGAGTTCATGAGGTTCTTGCTAAGATCTTGAGTGTTTCCTGCAAGTCTGATGGTGGCGACTCCATATAAAGGCAGAAATACTGAAACACTCAGTAAATAAAGTTTAAGACTTAATGAGCCTCTCTTTGGCCGCTTGGCACTGTGAACAGTTTAAAACCTGCAGACGGCCTGGCAGCACGGCCTGATGGCTTCCATGTCGCACACAGTAACAAACGATGGTGACAGGTTTACCTTTAACGTGACAAGCAGCGTGACCGTCTCCACGGAGTAGTAGCCTCTGTCGACGTAGTCTCCCATGAACAGGTAGTTGGTGTCAGGAGACTTGCCACCGATCTTAAACAGCTCCATCAGGTCATGGAACTGACCGTGGACATCGCCACACACCGTCACCGGGCATCGCACCTGAGGGGACAGGAACAAGGTGACAGGGTCAGCTTGGCCAAGGGGACCAGCCAACACTTTAATAACATGGGGGTCTTTTTTTTACATCTGAGATAAAATGGTCTAAACTCAGATTTCTCCAGATCATCGTCAACTTATAGTCAACAAATACTGATTGAAGCCCAACAGCAACAGGTCAGCATTAACAGCTGATAACCTCTCAGACACTGTATTTTAGTGCACATATACAAAATCTATGAACATTTTATAGGCTGCATTTCACACAGGTGTATTTCTGTTTTCCTTCCTAGTGGACGCACTTCACGTTGCATCTCACCATCTTCTTTAAAAGACCATGAAAGCTCTGGAAAAAGTTAAGTAAAGTAAAGTAAATGGACTTTACTACTACTGTCATGGTCGGGTAATAACTTCGCGCGCGCGCGCGCACACACACACAGCTTTTTGCCATGTTTCTATTTATGGTTATTTTTAACAGTCAGCAACCACTGATTTCAACTCTTATTAAAATTACCAATGATGTTCCACTTTAAAATAAACTTAAAATTATATTCACTGTTAATATCCACAAACAAATCAGTATTTGATGGGACCCACGACATCTGCAAAAACCTGTAATGTCCTGGATTAAAGTTTGCTAACAAACAATATGTATCTGCAAACAGAAAGTAAAACATCTAAACCTCAGCACTGACACATTTTTGGTTCATTTGTAAAAGCTGTTGACAGCGTCCACTTCCTCGTCGGCCAGCAGTGGAGCAACACCAGAGATACATTGAATAATGATCCCAGTAAGATTAACCAGTGTTTGAGAGAAGTTGTGCAATTTGCTCAAATCAGTTTCCGTTTCCTCATTAGACATGAAGTTCTTTACCAAAACTGACAGTGCTTCTCAGCTTATTAGCTGAGAAGCACGATGCTGTAAACCAAAACCATCTTATCAGTTCACTGTGGGAACATCAACACCTCAAGCTGCCTCTTATGGTAAATAAACAATGATTGTACTGAAAAAATACTGAGGCTTGACATCAGTGACTACTGTGTATTAAAAGGATAAATGAGTTTTTCCTGTTGGCTGAGGGATTTTGGAAGGAAAGCGCTTGTACAGAGACTCCGTGGCATTTGAACACAAAGTGTGAGAGCCTGCAGCGGAGACACAGTGGGAACAAGGTGTGATACTGTTCAAACTGTGGAGCCTCAGGCACAGGCTGCTCCAAACTCGTCGAGGGAGCAGCACTGAAAACCTGCACCCACACATCTTTCACTCTCTTCTAAAGTACAGGCAACCATTAGAAACCGTTTCATCACATAGAAATCTCGTTTAGGACCAACTTTCTCCTGCAAGCGTTCATTTGTGCTGTAACAGAGAGTCGTGCAACTTCCTGAACAAACAATCACTTTAGTTACTCCCTGATGCTGCTTGGACGCCAGCCAGCAGCTGAACATTTCTCCATCTAAGTGTGAACAGCCTGCGCCACCGTGTCACTGCTTGTTCTGTTATTGAGTTTTGGTTTTATCAGTTTCAAGCCTAGAAAGTAAAACTCCTAGTTTTCTCTTGATCTCACCTCTGGAGATTATAACTCACATCTCCAACTGGGTTTTTCTGTCATTTTGTTTCTGTGGCTTATCAGCAGAGACACAAACCAATTTCCCTGTTGGGATCAATAAAGTCTTTTACCTGTTTATCTTTCTAAAGACTGTAGAGGTGGAACTAACAGGTTTAACTATCAAATTATCTGTTGATAATATCATGCAAATAACAGATTAATCATCAAATCTACCTTTCAGTAATTATGCCAAATAATCTACTTATCAACCAGCTGCCCGAGTGAAAGCACCACATCTGTTGGCATTTCAGGTTCCCGTGTTCACCCTGAGGCCACCAAGTCGCCCTGGACCTGACAACTGTGCCGCACTGGAAAATCAACCAGTGAGGTTCGATTCTTCTGTGTCGATGCTGAGGACAGACTCACCTCCTGAACGTTGGACTCCTTAGTCAGAATCTCCTTGGCCTGGAGGGGAAATAGACACACACTTCAGTTAATTAGTAACTTTTTAAAAGAAACAGTCAGTAATGCACTCCTCAGAACCTACACCGATCAGTAATGCACTCCTCAGAACCTACACCATCTCTCTGCATGTGAACAGAGAGAATGTTAAATAAAGCTCTTAGACAGACACACTAACTGTAACTCATGTCTTGTGGTTCCATGTTTAGCCTCCATGACAGACCGATGGGTTATTTTGAGACATCGAGCCTGCTTGATCTCACAGGACACTGCAGCGTTAGAAATGAGCTGGTCACAGCAAAGCAAGGCAAAAATAACTACATCTGCTTTACTGAGGTGAAACATTTCTAAAGACAGAGATGTTCTCTACAGCAACTTGTGAGCACAGATTTTGCTTTTGTAAATAATGTTTCCTAATATTACAACCTGTTAATTTCTGTTAACAAGAACTGACATCCTGTCAAAGACTACATACAAAACATTTACAACCGACGACCTGTGTCAGCACCACAGACACAAACTGAGCATTTGAAACAACCAAGGCCGGTGCTGTTGGATATTTTTAATACTAGTTCTGATGATGCCAATACTCAGTTACTGCCCTGGTACCAAAACAACATATCTGATACATTAACTTTGAGAAATGTAAACGCGTTGTTCTAAAAACCTTTTTCCCCTGAAACAAAACAACAATCTGAAGTCTATCTAAATAAAATAGCCCAATCCTGACAAAATGAAGATTTAATCTGGAACTATCTGAGCAAAGAAACAGTCCATATTGAATAAATGAAGCCAACTTTTTGTGCTCAACAATTATTGATGTGGTGCCTTTTTTTTGTTTAACTTATATTATTATTGTAATATCAACTAACAAGCTTCCCTGCTGATTCAGAATGTGTACAATAGTTACCTGTGAAACAGGCTACACGCTACTGTCTTTACTGCTACCATTCACAAGAATGACTTCCCAGCATTCTAGCCTACTTCATGTGTTCTTTGGGGAGGCTGACCTTATCGATGGCTATAAGCACCGTCCTGAGCTGACGGCACAGAAATATATCCAATCAGCTGTTTGATTAGCTCAGCACTCCTGCCAGGCACACAAATGTTCATCCAAAGACTGATTGTTGAGGGACAGGTCATTCCTGTCCCCAGCTTAGGTTTCATTTCAATATCAAGTCACCTCCTCGTTATTTTTCTGTGCATATAACTCACTGTTATTTTTAATATTCATTCCGTTTCACATTCATCCGGCTCAGCAGAAACACTAAGGTTCTGCGCCTAAGCCTTTCTACAGTAGGGAAAAGTCGGTCATGGTTTCACCCCAAAAGAACAACAAAAATGCACATCCTGTTGTCTTGGCTGTTTAGCATTTTAATTTCCTGTTGTTTCAACACAGGAAAGGTCATTTCACACTCACACAACAGGTATTTTTAACACAACAGAAAATGAGATCTGACTTTGGACTTCTGGATAAAAAGGCCCCGTCTCATAGAGTGCTTTCACAATTGGGACCCAGCCCCGGACCCAAGTACACTTGACCCCAAAGTCCGGTTCATTTTGATTAGTGTGAACACCAGCGTACCAGACTTGGGCACTGTGCCCTAATCCGCTTGGAGAGGGTCACGAGCACGATTCATGTGTACTCAAATTTTCATATACTGAGCAAGACTGCAGCCAAACATCGTTACCATAAAAACATTGCTTGGTCTGTAAATACTGGGAAATGTTCATCACAATGTCTGTTGGAGGCTTCTTCCATTAAAGGGAGTTTTCCCTCCCCGCTGTCACCAAGTGCTGCTCAACAGGGGGTTCATGCTATACAAATAAAACTGAACTGAATGTCGACAGTGATGTCTTCAAGTTAGTGTTTCTGAAAATTGTCACAGAGAAAATTCACATTTGAGAAAGGTCTGCTCTTTTTTTCTGCTGATCAACTAACTGAATGATTGTTTCAGTTTCTATCAGTGGTATTTCTACTGTTACTATTGCATTAGTATTCAACAACACTGCAGTGACTCTTACAACACAGATACAATCAGAGCCTTATGAGAGCTGCAGATGTTCAATGCTAAGAAAACTGATTTCATCTTGCAATCTGAAGGAGCAGAAAATGGTTTATTTTTTAACACAGTAGATTAAAAGTCATGATGTTGGACACTGTTGCCTCGGGATAGGCATTTACCATTATTACCACTACAGACAGACCTAAAACAATTAGTCTGTTTGGCTACTTGATCAATAAGGCATTAATCTGCACTTTTTTTTAAAAAATAAAGGATTCATTCGTTTTTTGTTTCTTCTAGGTAAAAATGCCTCAGATTTACTGGTTTCAACTTCTCAAATGTGAATACCTGCTAGTTTACTGTTCTGTAATATTAATCTACATGCATTTGGGTGTTGGACGTCTGATTAGTCTAAACTAACAATGTGAATGTTAACTAGGGTTTTAAGAAATTGTGATGGGGAGTTTCCTTCTGACATTTTATAGACCAAAATATTAACTGATAAAAAGGAAAACAATTAACTGGTTAATAAATAATTAAAATCATCATTATCTGCAACAATGAGTTCTATGAAATGAATCGTTATTTGGTCTATAAACTAACACAGGTTGGTGCCAAATGTCACCCGATGATTCCTTCCTTAGCTCCCCTGCTTACTGTTACTGTTCATACGTTAAATGACTTCCCTCTGTTCACACCATAAACACGTTTCTACTTCCATTCAATTCTAAGGAAAATGACTGCTCTACACATACAGGACAAAAACAGGCCGCAGCTTCTCAATAAGAGGAATTAATCCTATTGTTATTAAACGTACTGTGGTGACATTAAAAGGCCGATGACGCAGAGTTTAACGTTGCAACGCACCTGAAGTGACGCCTGAAACGGTAATGACAGGTTTGTGGAATAAACCGATTCTTCAATAAACAGGGCGCGGTGCCAATCACAACAAGCAAACCTAAAAATAGTTTGGTTTTAACATGAATTATGTTAAACTTCTGAATTAAACATTAGCTGAGTTCTGGTCTGTGTGCAAAACACAGCCCTGTTAATGAACGGGTGGTAAAATAGACTCCGTCTATTTGCTGGTACAGGTGTAAAAGCTCAGGATATTCGGCCCGTCTGTGATGAAAGCACGGTTACCATATAATATCCACGGTAGCACAGTTTTGAAGCTTCAGAAATGGCACCTTACTAAAATATTTGATTTAGCAATTATTTCGCTGCTACACTGCTATGAACATTAGGCAACATCAGAATGACTAGTCGAAAATAGCTGCCTGGTCGTTACTTGGTTCCAGAAAATAGCCGGACCCACCTTCGCAAGCTAGGCCACACTGAAAGCAAGACCGATGAATGAGAATAAAACCGAGGTTCTTATAACCACTTACCTTCTCGCAGAGTGTCCTGACTTGGTTTTCCGTTAGCTGCTTACACTCGTTTAGCTGTTCGATCCATTGGTCCAAATCTTTAGTGAAGGATTTGTCTTCCATGACAGCAGTGGTAGCTGGCTAAGCTAAGTTAGCTACCTGGGAAAAACAAAGTGGCCTGTGTCTCAGTGATAGCCGCTTTAGCTCGTCGTACTGTTAACCCGATCTAGTCCCGCCAAACCGGTTGAAAAATCAGTGATACGACCTAAAATGAACAATCCGTTCAGTCAGCATCTATCATGATAAATACAAATGTTAAATTAACCACGTTTATAATCCGTTAAAATTGACCGGGGGAGTCAAAAGAGTCGAAAGTCCCCGATGCAGCACAAGTCAGCGGCGTCGCAGCGGCTAGCCAATTTGCTAAAAGAGCTAGTTACGATAACATCCGGGAATTTGTGTAGTGCGCAGATTCAGCACAACAGTGACACTGCGTGGACAGACAGAAAACTGCAAACACCTACAGGGACACAATCTCTACATAACTGATCCATTTACTTTTAATACTATAAGTAAAATTTGCTAATAATGCTTACATACTTTAACATAAAGGATCTGAATGCTTCCTCCACTAGTGATAGAAGGATCTTCACTTCCAAGTCTTTGTTTGAGCATGCTGAGATATACAACCTGAATACAAGGTCACAACCCAAAAGGTTGGAGAACCAACAATTCATTCAAGGTAATTAAAAATTTTACAGCATAGATTAGCTACAGTGTTGTCCCTCTCCACAATTTTTTGACTATTTATTTATTTATTTAAAATAATGAAGGTTACAGATGAAATTTACTGTTAGAAGCTGCTGTTTTTCCTGTAAACTTTTTTTTTTTTTAATGATCACTTCTAACTTTCAGACCAGTCAAAGTTAAGCAATAATATGTGATAACTTTGTTTTAGACGTTTCAGATCAATTTAAAAAGTTAATTTTGTAGGCAGGTTGAAGAAGCAGATGATAAAAACACTGAAGCACCCATCAGCAACTATATACATATATACTTTATTTACAAACAACAGAAGCCCCATGGTTGTACAGTGATAGGTACAGCTGAAGAAAATCTGGATAGATTTAGAATATAAAAACTAAAATAATTAAAAGCATGTTTGTTAGCAGAAAGAAAAAGTTAAATGTACAGGGCACGTTTCAGCCAGTGAGCAGATAGAACTGGATTTCAGAGTTACTACCTGTCAAAGTTCAATTTATGATTTGAATTTTATCTCAATTTAATCAGTTCAAACATACTGAATAACTCACCAGCTCAGAAACATGCACTTTTTATATGGTTTCTCCTTATAAAATTTTGATTTTTACCTTTATTTAATAAAAATCTCTTTCTGTTTTTGTTGTTTCCCAGTTCATTGTTAATGCATCATATTTAGGGATTCAGGAACAAAATCAGAGAAATTATTTGTAAACTTATTTGACACGTGTTCCAATTCAATAGAGACAACGCTGCGATAACACTGCTGTAAGCAGACATGTTTATCTTCTTTTGTGTTTTACTCAACCTTTCAATAATTTTCCTTTGGTGAGGAAAGCTTAAGGCAGTGGTCACAACAGAGCTTTAAACTTCACAATTTACTCTTTAGATCCAGCGATGACTACTTGTTTTTTTGTGACGCTTTGGTCCCTGGGAACTTGTTAAAGTCTAGGAGCAAAATTTTAAAAACACAAGATAATTGGAGGTTTTCTTCTTTCCCCAGCAAATGCAGCATGTGGGTTAATAAGTGATGAAAAGCAAAAGGATCATCCATATCATTCAAGTCAAGACTTATCATTCATAAGTCAAGCATCACAATTAAGAAAGGCAGCTGTCCACCAATCAGAGGACAGCGACAAGTAAATCTCCTCATTAAGACAGTTTAAAAACCCAGATTCTGAGTTGAATGAGTCCTCAGTTAAGTCTGGACACACCGACTGCAGGTTACGCTGGTTTTAAATTTAAAATCACTTTACTTTTAACTGGATATGGGAACTCGGCAAGACTCAACACCAGATTAGAATCCGAATCATGGCATCAAATAATGTAATTATGGACCTGTATTTAAATCAAAATACATCATAAGTTTGAATTTATAAATTTTAATTCTTTTGTAATTATAAATGTAATTTTTGTGACAACATTAGTATCTTTATATGCTTATGTTTGTTCATTCTTTTCCTCAGTCCTTTTACATGCATACATATAAGTTGAGTAGAACCTAGGGAGAGATTTAACCATGTATATAAACCTTATTTTTTTCTCAACACTTCCCAGTTTTCCCTCATGGAAAAAAGAAATGGTGGAAAATGTGTGAAGTACATAAGTCATTAATTAGCAGTAAATAAACACAGATTTTCATTTTATTCAGGACTGAAGGTAAATAGAAAACTAACTGAATACAGACCAATAACTGACAATGTCAGAGAGGTTTGCCACTTCTGGGACTCTGTAGAAGATGAGATGTTTTTCAGGTTTTGTTTCTGTCTCCAGTTCCTTTCATTATTTATGCATTATTACTACATATTATTTAAAAGTGTTTCTGAAAAGATTGACAGCTGATTTGTTTAGTCTAGATCTGACTTAAGTCTATCAGAATTGTATCAGGTTAAAGCTACAACAGAGTCCTGCAAACTGTGCAACAAGTAAAACTGTGTTTACATTAAAGCACCAGCAATGTTAAAAGTAGACTAATGTGGGTGGGTAGTATGTGAAATAAACAATTAAAATAAAATTAAAAAAACAAATAAAGATGCAGCTTCTTTTAAACCTCTAATCCAGCATAATTTTATCAAGTCTAAGTATCCGACATATTTATCGTGAAGGCCTATGGCGCAACCCTTGACCCCTCAACTCACATCCAGGTAATAGGACTCACTCAGACATCCACACAGGGATCAGTGTGTCAAATTGGACAACCTGAAAGCAAAAAATAGCCAGTGGTGAAAACAAAATTGTGGATAAATATATCATCAAAGGCCAGGTGGAACGTATGGGAGAAGTTCAGGTGCAGTTACAGACAGTGAGAACGCTATCAGTGGCTTTGCTGCTTGTAAAAAGTGCCAAAAGGTGTTAGCATTTGATAGGTGCAAGCTAGTCAGTTAGTTCCTCGATAAAGGAACAGCTGCAGAGCCCAGGTGCTGCGTCCATCGACAGACAAGTTTCCAAGAGCACAGCTCTCAAGCACGTTAAAGTAAGCGACTGTGTAGCTTAAAGTCTATTTAATTACAGGTATGGGTCAGGTCATGGGTCTTATGTTCATGGGTTGGGTGGGGTCCGGATTTCATTTAGAGATAACTGAGGGCAATGGGTTGGATCTGATACAGACCTTTGTGGGTGTGGGTTTGCAAATTGGATCCGGGAAGAACTCTGAGCTGCTTTACACAATTTGTTATTAAAAACTAAATCAAATGATGGTAACACTCCTTTTTTATACATCTGTGCAAATTTGTGAACTTTTTTCTTTCTAACCCCAGTGATCACAAAATCAACTAATACAGCTTTAAAATGCCTAATAAGCACAAAATAAATGAACATTTCTGCTGTGAAGCTAGTGTCAGCTGGAATGTTTAAGGACCAAAATTTACTGACTGACCCAGTTCGTCTGAGAGAACTAGTTTATGAAAAAAAACTTTAGAAGGCATACATCTTCAAATTACACTAAATGAGCCTTAAGACACCAAAAGTAGATTTTGTTGTTGTTGTTGTTGTTGTTGTAATCCTTACAAATTCTTTGTCGCCTGACTTCTGCAGAGCTACTCTGTGTTTAGTTTACATTCTACATATACTATAAGGGGCAAAGATGCAACATCTTCATCACAAATATTTAACTGTCATGAACTGGAAACCAGATAATACATTCAAGTAAAGTGTAATCCTGGCCTAAAAACTAAAATAAAAACAGGCAGTAATAAATTAAAAGAAAATGTTTTCCTCCATTGACATGAACTTAACATGCCACTGGGGGGAACTGTGACATTGAAAATATAATTAATCAATTTGATAAAAAAAAAAAAAGCTCAACAATTGCAGAAATAGCTAAATATAATAATCTACCCTGAACTTGTGATCCACTAAGGGACCGCAGTGACATTCTGGTTCAGGTAAGTCAAGGTGTGAAGTTGTGTGGTTACTGGGTGGAGATGGGGCTCCTGTTTGTGTACAGGTTTATTCGAGGTCTTCAAGGGTCCAGTAGTTGTTTAGTAGGGATGGGACAATATATCGAAATGTTATATATCACAATACAAAGACGTCACAGTATCGTTTTGTCTATATAGCATGTGGTCTCCATACATCGGCAACTTCTTATTTTTTGTAAACAACATAGCCTAACAGAAGGTAAGTCAATATACTGTACCTGGTTGTTCTTTACATAATCAAACTAGTGCTAGAAAAAGGGGGAAGAGGAATAAAGTACAAACATTCTGCAGCTAGTCATACATTGTTGTCATTGAATTTTTAATTCCATCATGATTGAATCAAACTGTATCAAGAAAAATTCATATCGTCCCATCCCTAGTTCCTAGACACCTGACCCAGGTAGGCCCAGGTCCAAAATCAGTATTTTTATGCATGTTGGATTCAGGTAGGTCCGTTATGGATCAGGTCCTAAACTTTAAACCAATGAAGACCTCGTGTGTTTATTAATGCTTTTCATGTATAAATATCTTTGTCCATTTTTGTGTGAAACTTTGACTACTGAGATCATCTGTCATCATTTTACAATCTTCTCCAATCCCTATTTTTAGTCTGGACTAAAGAGGAGCTCCAGTGATTTTGATGTGTCCTGGCGACTCGTTTAAAGCACAGTAAGGCTTTCAGTATTGCACTTGATTAAGCTGGGGAACTTGTGAAAGACATATTCAAAAACAAACGGTCACACTAAAGCAGAAATCCCGACTTTTAGTACACTCCAAACCCAAACACACCAGATCCTACCATTTCCATAAAGCAACTTAGTAGCCTCTTTTAGTAGGCCTACCCTGCAAACTACATACTGTCTATGAGGGTTAGTTTTGCAGACCTAAGACATTACACAAGTAGAGTATTTTCAGGGGCTAAGCAGTACCAAGCCCAACGAGTAATCTGATTGCTGTGTAAAATCACTAGAGTATCACTTTACCCTCCTTTTGAGGTGACTGGACTGCAGTCAAGACAGTAAAAGTCATCTGGAATGTCTCCAGACATGCTTTTAACCAGAACAACAATAAGCATGTTGATGTGACCAAGTCTTCCAAGAGGCAGCTCAAAGGGCTGCGTGCTTCGTCAGGGAAACCTGACATTTTATCAGAGGAAACAATGTTTTCTGTGAAGAAAAAATCCCAGAGGCAGGTTTAGATGTCCAGGCCACTCTGTGATAGAATTTATAGTTTTGAAGCCAGAATTTTAAAGACTTTTCCAAGTGAACAACAAATGATGGGATATCACACACATATTAAACAGAAATCCAACGAGTCAGATCAGATTACAGCTAAATTTGAAGATATGGCCCAGAAGAGGTCTTTGATTTGGACTGGGAGCTGTCTGGCTTTAACCAAGGTTCTGAATCCATCTGTAGGAATGTCCAGAGTTGGGCTTGTCTGAATTCAAGGATTGCATCTTTATTTGTCACTGGGACATGGGTGTTTCACACCTGGGATAAAGATCGTTCAAAATTTGAGCTACATTTGTTTGAGTTGGGCCCAGCCTTGGGAAAGGTTCTGTATGGTAGTGTCCTATATTCTGGCCTTGGAACAGTCCAGCTTCACCTACCTTTAGTGTGAAGGCAGTTTCAATTTGAACCCAGGGGCATCAAGCTTTAGTTCACACTCTGGCTGTGTCCACAGCAATGCCATGTTGGAACTAGTACGATCTGCATTTTGGTGGAGAAAACATCAGATAGGCTGCAGGTTGGTCAGACCTTGGATCCGGGTGTTTTGTGTTTGGGACAATTTGAGGGGCAACCGAATCTGACCTAGCCCCGATTGATTTAGGCTGACAAGGCTCCGCACTGGGAGGGCGGTCCAATCTTCAAAAAAGGATTGTGTGATGATCGGGTTAGAGTTGTCCTATGCTGGGCACCCTACTGGAAATGTAGTTGCTGGGCTGTGGGTTGACTCCACTGTGAACCTTGTATCCATTTTTGTCTCTCTGTGTTTCACATCTGTGACCAGGAAAGTCTCAAATTTGGACTACGTTTACCTGAATTAGGTCCACGGCACTCTAAACTTAGAAAGGACTGGGTCCGGAGGGTAGTCCAGCCTTAGAGAAAAGGGCCATTATGGATTTAAGGCTGCCCTATTCTGAAACCAGAATGGTCCACACTGGCTGAGTTTAAAGTATGTTTGGATATAAGCTGAATGCGACCTAGTGTGGTTTTAGTGTGGAGCAAAAGTGGTCAGAACTTATGCAGAGGGATTCATTTTGTGCAGACAGTAATCCAGTTTAGGTCTAGGATGGTCCTGATTTGGGAATTGTCCAACAATGACCCAAATTTAAAACTGGTCCACAGGTCTGGAGAGTTTGGGGTTTCGGGAATTCATTGAGGGTGTCCTGACTTATCCAAAGCTGGTAAATGTTTGATTGGGTGGAGGATGGTTGAGGCATGTTCTGGGCACTGAACTGAGGTCTGGATCTGACAACTGTGCCACTGCTGTGTTAAATGTAATCCAGCTAAATTCTATTTGACTCACTCTGGATAGATGTTGCATGTTAGTCCTGGAGGAGATGGATCTCTGTGTATGTATCTGTCTCTGTCCGTCCGTCTGTCTGTTTCATGGGTCTGTTGTTCTTGTCTGTGGTTAGCAGCTGCAGCCCTCTTTGGCCGGCTGGCTGTCGGTGTTCAGGCGACCTCCCTGCGGTGCTGATGGTTTATGCTGGACTCCCGACTCGGCAGCGTTCAGGTCCAGACTGCCATCCTGGATGTTCTGGTAGATCCTCTTTGCCGCCTCCAAGAAGGCCTCCTCCACGTTCTCCCCTCTAGAGAGGAGTCGTCGTCAAAACAGTCAAGGTGCAAACAAACAGCAAAGTTCTTACATGTTTAGGACCTAAAGCTTTACTGCCATAAGCACTGAGAACATTACAACTGTTTAAATAACTTTTCTGTGGTAATCAGTTTACTAAGAATCTGTGTCTCAAAGTCAGTCTGACCCACAGTTCTGCATTAAACCCTCCTTCATGAAGGTGATGATGTTCAGTTTGCGTTCAGACTGTTCCACAGAGCTGTTGGTTCACTTGTGTGGTCACTCTGGAAGCATTCGGAAAAGTCTTGAATAATACCTGCAAAGGCCTGAAGTCGTTAAACCAGGCTTGCCTCGGCAGGAACATTACTTATAAAATGTTTTGTGGTTTTAATAAAAAGTGTCTGGAAACTCTCCAGCAGTGCTGTTCTCCACCTCAGGCCTTATGGAAAACTCACATATGGACTGTAAATAAAAGTCAAGGTCACATTTAATGACTGATATTATTAGGAACTATTTCAAAATGACAGCTTATACTGTAAATATCAATATGTTCATGTACATGGTAGGTAGTTCTAGGCCTTACCATGCCTACTGGCTTTCAATTATATTTTTAATATTCTGATTAGTATAACTTTGAAACAGGTATCAAACTGTTTTTCTAAGCAGTGTTACCTCGGTACAGGTCTGCACCACCTTTTGGCTCAGATTCAACTCTAATGAATGGATGCTGACCCTGACGTGGGTCCAGTTAAGGCTTTAATTAACAAACACTTACATATTAACATATCAGCATTTTCTACACTCCAATTTAAATGGTTTATTTGCTGTTTTTACTGGGATGCAATCTACCACGATGACGTAGTGGGCGTGATGATTGTCTAATAAAAAGCAGTGTGTACTTACGTCTTAGCGCTGGCCTCTAGAAACAGCAAACCTAGTCAAAAACAGGAAGCGGGAATCAGAACCAGTCTAATGTCTGGTTTTCAGCTGAATATACAAAGGAATGTTTCGCTGCTTACCGTTCTCCTCAGCAAACTGTTTGGCCTCTTCATATGTCACGTCTCTCTGAGCCTCCAGGTCGGCCTTGTTACCAATCAGAATGATCACCTGAAACACAGTGTTTAGTAAACAACTGGTGCACAGAGAGTCTGTGAGGAAGATTTCATCAGGGACATCTGGACGTTCAATTGTTTAAATATTTTTCAGATGTCTATAATACATATTCAGTTATTTGTAATTTATCCATATCCCTTTGCAGTGATCACTTTAAGATTAAAGGATCTTTTTTCTGTTGATCTTTGTGAAAAAGCCAAGTTAAATTCTCTTTGTTGTAAAAGCAGAAAACAAAAACGTCCAAAGGGGGTGAATAGTTTTTATGATGACTGTAACTGCTGCTGCAGTGGCATTTTCATCTACGTGTAACCTCAGTCTGGAGCAGGATGAACTAACAAAAGTAAATACTAGAGAATGACTGTGGAGGTTTACGGATGAGATGCTGCAAACAGCAGCTGTGGCAAACTGTACCAAGTAAAGGTTTGGAACCTTCTCAGCTGTTTTGATGTCTTTGGTGTTAATCTACAATGCAAAAAATACCAGAAACCAATGGGGAAAACACTGAATGAGGTGTGTCCCCGTGTTTGACAGGTACTGCATATCGCCTAATCCCACACTTTGTCTGCTAGTCTCTTACTTCTACCAATTACCAATACTGCAGTATTCTCAAACTAGTACAGAGCATATAGTTGTAAACAGCTTTTGAGTAAAATCCAGTCGAGCTGCTCAGTCTACCCAGCAGCCTGAACCAACAACGGGTGTTTGGTAGTAAGTACTATTAGTATATTTACTCGTATATTTGGGGAGAAAGTCAGCACTCACTGTGTTTGGGTTGGTCAGGTTCCTGGCATCTGTCAACCAGCTGCTCAGGTGGTTATAAGTACTCCTCCTTCACACCAACACAGGAATGAGACACAGATATACGTTTAAAAAGATCGAGCTAATCTGAAACAACCATGACAGCCCACAAACCACACCCGTGCTTATCTCTGCGTCATCCTGGATTTCTCTCCCAGATTTATATTTTAGCAGCACATTCTGGGTTTAGACGCCAACCAGCCTCCACCCGTCAGTACCTGGTGATGTCGTACACCATGAGGGCCCCGGCAGCCCCCCTGTAGTAGGACCTGGTGACAGCCCTGAACCGTTCCTGACCAGCGGTGTCCCAGATCTGCAGCTTCACCTTCTGACCGTGGACCTCCATGATCCTCGTCCCAAACTCCACCCCAATGGTGTGAGGACAGTCCGCCATGACTGCGCGCACACACACACACACACACACACACACACATCACTATGAGTGTACTGTAAATATTAGCACTGAAAACAACACAGGGTGGACAAATACTGTCACCCTGATTCAGAGCAACAAGCCCCCAGGCACAGACATGTGAAAGGCCCCCAGCCCTGCCACAAAGGAGCCAAACTCCCAGACTGACATGAACTCTTTGTGGTTGTTTTCTGTCTTTATGTTGTCATTTTGTGTCTAGTTGTACTTGTTTTGTGTGTTTCTACAGCTGTTTTCTCTTTGTGGTCATTTTCTATCTTTATACTTGTTTTTATTACACAGATCAGATCTCCACATTAAAAACTGTTTCTGCATCAATGTCATAAAACTCAGCGTTTGTACCACGAACGTACTGCAAGAGCTGGATACCAGATTACAACATGGCACCTGTTCTCCTCCTGAAAGTTGCCCACATGGCACATACACCAGAAACTTGTAGCAATTATTTTCAGTATTGATTAATCTGTCCATTGCATCTCAATTTGTCATCTTGTCTTTAAAATGGCTCAAAAAAGTGAAAAATGTCCACGTTGTCCAACCAGCAGTGTAAAGCCAAAATATATTCAGTTTATTACCACATATAACAAAGAAAAATATCAAATTCCAGTACCTGAGAAACTAAAATGCCTCCCAGTTTACTTGGAAATTGACTAACACATTTATCTGGCTATTAAATAGTTGTCAATTACTTCTGTTTTGATTGACTAATTATTGCAGCTCTAGAGCAGACTATAATCAGTATGTGGAAATAAAGCAACTTCTCTGGCATTATGGGCTGTTTTAGTCCCATTACACGACTGGGTTATTATTTTTATTCATCCCCTATTTAACCAGGTAAAAGCCTTGTTGAGATTAAATTTCTTTTTCGATAGTGACCCAGCCAAGATGGCAGCAGAGACACAGAAACAGGCCTGTAAAATGCTGCTGCCTCAGAGCAAACTGAGTTGGAGAACAGCAGAGGAGATTAAAAGGAAGAAGACAAGAAAGCTCACATTTTTTCTCTGTGAACTGATGCAACAGACAGGACTTCCCAACTCCCATGTCACCTGGAGAGAAAGACAAAGGACAATCACAGTAAAAACACAAGGTCAGAATGACGCTGTGAGTTAAAGTCTGGTCACTTCACTCCTTTTAAATCGGTGATGTCGCAGTGGGTGAACGGGTTAGAGGAGTATTTTACTCTGCTGTGAAACTACCACTCCAAAGCTTCCTTCAACGTTCCTAAACACAGGACTCTCCTGGACAATGTACTGACTCCAGACGTTTATGTTCCGATCACCAGCCTCTATTTGTTTACTTTATCAAATATCTTAATATTTCTTCCACCACTGGAAATGAGGGAATAACAATGGGACAGAGTGGACAGATGGAGAAATACATGTCATTGAGTATTTCTGCAAATACTGGTACATACAGGGCGCAGTATTGGGTAACAAGTCTGTACTACTGAAAACAGCAGTAATACACACACTGCTGTGTTCTAATATGAGAACTTGCATTTACTGCACATTGTCACATGTGGACACATCCTGTTCACACTGATACAAGTCCAGGAAGAGGAAATCTTTTATTCTGTTTTCTATGGGACATACAATGAACCGTGTAAGAAGAACTCAGTTTCTACAACTTGTTTTTATGCCTGAAGACAATTCAACTGGATTTTAGTTGCAGTCCTATATGATAAAAAAAGAGTTCCACCTCAACCAACTGTAAATGCTGCTTTTACATTAGCACACAAGTAATAATAACTTAATAATATGACATATAGCAGGCTCACTTTTTCTGCACTAGGTATTTTTACTGTCGATACTTTACGTCCATTTATCTCATTATGCTTACATGTATCTACATAAGTAACATTTTCATTGCAGTAACGGAGTATTTTCACAGTGTGGTATTAGTACTTTTACTTAGCAAAGTAAAAGCCTGAGTGTTTGCTCCAGCAGTAATAAATCAGACCGTGTTACTCACCGATGATGATGTATTTAAAGATGTAGGAGTAGTTGTAAGGTGCGGCCGTCATCTTGATACTGTGAGGAGGCAAAAACAGGAGGGCACGTTTCGTTTAAACCAAACAAGGTGTGGGTTAAACGGAGTCCACACCCTGTCTGAGCTCACTCCGACTCCCTTTAATCTGCGTTCACACAACCTGAACAAAAACCGTTTAGTGGACAAACAAAAGCAGCTAGCTAGGCTAACAGACAGCTAATGATAAACACCGATCTGAGCTTCAGCATGTAGCTTTAAACACCGTGACAGCCAGGCAGGGTGGAAGCAGTCACATTTAGCAGAAGTAGTAAACTCCGTCAGCTGACTTCCCTCCCTGAGAAAACCCCTGAATCCCTTACGTTAGCTTAGCTCCGCAGCTAACCGGCTAACAGCTGCAGCTCTATCTACGCCTTGCTAACAGCGAGAGGCCACTTTTAATAAGACTCAGAACAAAAACCGTCCAATAACAAACCAGACAAACAGTGTATGTTGTATATCCTGATGCTTTACCTTCGGTCCGTGAGACTATCTAAGATGTAAACCCGATTAAACTGCTGCTTAGGCTGAGAGTTATCTTTGTTAAGTGGTTAGCCTGCTGAGCCGTCAGAAAACCTCCACCCTCTTCCGTAACTCTTCTTCTCTGGCGAAGAAAAGCGGTAACATCGCAAGATGTACAGGTTTCTACCGCCACCTTGTGGACAATAACATTATGTCAATGACTGATTAGGAGCAACATCGTGTTCACTGAATGGTTTTAAAGCCTTAATCTTGTCTGTTCAAGTCAATGTTAGAGTAGATGTTGTCACTTCTATTATTCTTTGTCTTGCGCCCTGATTTGCTTACTTTTTTTTTTACATTTTTGTTACAATGATGCTATGAAAATGATGCTGAATTAGTGCTCAGCTCCTGTTTGCAGTGTGTCCATGGATGTACAGACAGTAACACGATTACAGAAAGAAAACATGATTTTTATGGACATGGTGGTACCAGCATCCTGTTCTGGGGGGACAGGGAGGTCAGAGAGAGATCTCAGTTTTCGATTTTCATTAAATGCAACAAATTCTAAAACCACGTTTTCACGTGGTCATTATACTGAATGTAGACTAATGGGCAACAGTGGAGATTTTATCCATTTAAAGTTAAATGTACCACCCAAAGTGTGTAGACATTGAAGAACTCTGTCGTCTGTGTATCAGGCCTTGATAATAAGAGGCACTGAGTGCTGGTCTGGGTCACACATGGGATTTGTTGATAAAAAGAGAAACAGACTATTACTTATGAAATAATAAGACATATGCAGATGAAACTGGTTTAACTTGAAGTTTGATTGTGTGTGGATGCTGTTTTCGACTGTTCATGCATGATGAGTGTGGGTTCGTCCTCTCTCTCCTCCCTCATGTGCTGATGTCACATGGAGGCAGAGCTCGACCATCAGAGTTCAGGCTCCCTCATCCACAGAGCAGTGGGAGTTTACTGAGGAGAAACAGGAGGAACTCTGCTGTTTGGATGGTTAGGATTCTTCAGATGAGGTATCAGACTCCGGATCAGCAGCTACTGAAACAACCGACAAACATGGACAAACAAAAAGGTACAGTGCTCACATTATAATGCAGCAACAGAAATCCTAAAGAACTACTTATAGAAAAGCACTTTAGTCCTGAAACAAACTAAACGAGATCAACACTGTTGATATGTCAACACTATCAACAGTTTCCTTACAAGTCACATGTGAATTATGTTTTGGATGTTTAACACAAGAGGCTTAATTGGCCTGAATAAGCACCATTTTTGGAGCATTCAGTCAGCGTGCAGGCTACATGTTGTTTTGTCATTAGCACTGTATGTTGACCTACGCACCTAATGTCAAGATGCGTGTAGGTAGGTGCATGCACTTTTCTTGATGTTCAACACATGCACATTCATGATATTTTCATATATTTTATTTTTTTTAATGGCTCAATAAATTCCTAAATCAGTTGCTCACTGTGGTTTAATGCATTGTGCTTTGGAAAAAGAAATTCACATGTAATATCCTGTGAAATTAACATCAGATGGGATATATTCAGATGTCAGCAGGTGCAGTTTTGGTTCACATACAAAATAACATGGTGCAAAACGTAAACTATCAGGTCTGAGTGTGGAATTTCTTCTGTTTTATGTTTAAGTTCTACAGTAGATTGTATGGTGCGTGTTGTTATTTCTTTAAGAAAAATGAAGTTTTGTTACAGTTTATAGCCTCAGCCTCCGTCACCAGCGTCACAGCACTGATACACTGTTGTAGTGTAACATGTGGCTTTTACAGACAAATGGCCCAGTCACAGCACAAGTGACTAGACCAACTTCATCTGTGCACCCTCCTGAAATATTTGGGAGTAGGGTCTTGGAGACATGACTCCAGGTGGGAACCACGGCTGTAGGGCTGGGGACAGGAAGGGGACTGGCAGTAGTTGGCTGTGGTAGTCTGGACTGTAGCACTGAGCAGCGCCCATCTCTGTGTGGACTCTTTATCACACTGATGGTATGTTAACTACGGGATCGGGAATACCCGCCTGTCCTCCTCCATCATCCCTCCTCATCATCATCACTTCCTCCTCCGGCCGTCCTCTGAAAACTGAGCTAATGGGTTGTTTACATTCAGACTGCGATCGGTGATTTCAGCATTTTTCTCCCATTACTGCCCCTGAACTTTAGGTTTGTGACTACACAGTGCGACAGGCACTAACTTAAAGGAGCAGTCTGCTCTTTTCCATCTTGGGTCTTAGTGGTCGGTCAGTGACAAATCAGTAACTGGTCAGTAACTGGTGTGTGTGACTGGTCAGTGGTTTATGGGTTAGTGGTGAGATGGCTGGGCGTGCTGCTGAATGGTCGACTGGGGTTGGGTCAGTTTGGGGAAACAGCAGCTCAGTAATGTAAATGTTTCTGCTGATCTATATTTACTATCTGGAGGATGAAAGAGAAAGCTGCTCCTTGTAACACACATGCACACACACACACACACACACACACACACACACACATTGGAAGAATCCCATCTTTCTGCTAATTTGAGGGTTTGGTTTTCATGGTAAAGCAGCTTAACTCACTAAATTACACAGGAACTGACACACACACGTTCAGCAGCCTGGTCTCTTTCTCTCTGGTCCAGTTTCAAGCTGCCGTTGGCACAAACATCACAAAAAGAAACATCTACAGTGAGAAATGTGTGAAAATTCAAAGCGCACCAGCCAAAGGAAATAACAGTCACAGAGTTTGTCATCAGATAAAAACTTATTAAAACAGCAGCGGAGAACTCCGTTTGCTTTATCCATTTATCCATTTTCAATACCGCCCCATCCCAAACGGGGTCACGGGGGGCTGGAGCCAATACCAGCCAGCTGTGGGCGAGAGGCAGAGTACACCCTGGACAGGTCGCCAGTCCATCGCAATCCGATTATTTTATTTATTCATTAACTTGTTTATTTTACTTAAGTCAAAGTGCCAGTAATAAAATCCCCTGTGATGATTGTATCACTGATTCAACAACGTTCATGCAGTCCCCAGTTGGCGCTGCCCACTGTCCAGCCAGTTTCAGTTTATTGATAGTTAGGTATTTAGTTACATAACCCTGGGGTCAGACTGAAGTGATTTACATGAAACTGTCTGAGAGGTTTGTGTAAAACAGGACGAGACAAACTTATTTCTATTTTAGAAATTATTCATTTAAACTCTGAAAAGGACTGTAACAAACAGACAGAACAAAACCTGAGCTGTGTTCGTATTTAAAGCTAACACCGACAGTTCTTCTCTTCTATAACATTTCTGCCGATGATGTGTTTTTTCTTTACTGTAAATCTTATTTAAGTCTCTACTGTATTTAATGTATGCAGGTTGGTTTATATGTCAGGTTAACATAGGTTTTTGGTTTCTTTGTAATCTCTGGTTTTGATCAGCACCTCATACTGTAAATAAACATAAATATACTAGTGTTACATAAAAATGAAAATAGAGACAAAAACAATGGACACAACACATGAAGGCAGCTTTAATATCCCTGGGTTTTATTTCTGCTTTTACTGTGAATAAATCGTTCTTATCAGTTACTTTATCATTATTAACAGGCATTCGTTGGTTTTGTGTTATAACTGTGAAAACAAACCGTAAAGGCGTCGGTTCCACGTGCAGCTGACGAGGCCGAGGGAGACTGCAGCCCTGCTACCACTGCTGTGGTTTTGGCTTTTGTTTAATGTTGTTGTTGTAGCTCCGAACCTTTTCTACACTGACTGACTTTATCTGTCCACATACAGTACATATGGACAGTGGACGTCACTCGCTGTGTTTCCTGCTGCATCAAAGCCAGAGACCGGAAGTAATGTTGATGGACAGATAAGCAGCGTTCAGTCACACACACACTCCCTGTCCCTGTCGGTCCAGCAGCAGTGTGTCTCCTGGGACACCACGTCACGTTTTAGCCCGTCCTTTAGTCTCTGGGCCGGTTTTCTCGGCAGCACAGTGTCGTCCTGTTGTCGTCGGTGTGCTGTGGGTGTGTGGGGTATGTACAGCTCGATGCTTAAAACAGCAGCAGGCTGATGAGCAGAGCTGCGAGATCCTTAAATCCAGCAGAGAGGAGTTAATGTGAAACATTTAACCTTCATCTCCCACTCAGCTCGGAGTGAATGGACTCGCTCTGTGCGTCTGAATGGAGCGCAGACACAATCGCTGCCTGTTCGGACGGTGTCCTCCACATTTTCGACATTTTCCCTCCCTCTGATGATAATTCAGATAATCCACTACAGCTCCAGACAACAACAGGAAACCAGCCCAGTCACAAAGAGTTCAGGACAGAAACACACTTTCCACCATGTATGTTAGTTACATACGTGCATGAACCCAGCCGTGCACACCAACTGTGTAGTAGTAGCCTTTAAGAGGCTCCAATAAGAAACGCAGACAAACACCGGGCCTACAAAAACGTCCGGTGTCCTGACCTTTAGTTCCCGAACATCAGGTTTTACAGGTGATGTAACTCACGCCGTCTTTATTCTGTGTTAAACATTAGCAGCTTATCAGTGTTTATCCTGTCACATCGCTCCACATGTGAAGGTCAGAACATCTGAACACTTGTGATGGGAAACTTTACCTGCACAGGTGTAGTCGGTTCAGTGTCATTCACACGTTACCAGAACATGTTAGTTTTATCATAAGTACAGACTCATTCTCTGATGTAGCTGCTGAGAACGGAGCATTTTGTAAATCTGTTGACTTTAAATTGTTTTCCCATTCACATCAGTATTTATATTTTGATAAACTGAGATATAGATAAAGCACGTGTTGTTCATACTGTACTTTTATCTGTGTATGAGGGCGAATAATCGTCTTTTATCCACCTTTCAGCTGTTTATGCTTCAGAAGTGACAACACAGTCTGTATTCATTGAGAGAGAGCGAGACAACAGCTTCATTCATAGCGTAAACACAGACCGACTTTATGACTGTTTTATGTCATCAACCAGCTGACGACAAACTGTCCATTTAAATCCGTTCTGCTTCTGAGCAAACTGTTTTAAAACATTTTAAACTTTAAAAAATGTAACACAAAAGTAAAAAATGTAATGTAATCTAATTCTGACAAGCAACCAAAGATTTCAAATACATGTAGTCCACTAAAAGGTAAAATATTTGAGGTCCAAGTAAGAAGTAGAAGAACATGGAAATACTCAAGTAAAGTACAGATACCTTAAAAATGTACTTGTAAGTTCAGCACTGAGTAAATGTATTTAGTTACTTTTCTACTCTGGTCACATTAAACATTCCTTTTCATAATAACTTATGTCAGGATAAACAAATGTCAAAAAGCAGTTTGTGATCAGAACTTGGTTTTGACCAAATATGAATTTGGCATCACAGGAAACATGCTAATGTGCTAACATGCTAACTGCTTCAGCTCAGTTCGTGTCACTGGCTTCAAAGTTGAGAACAACACTGTCCATGAGTTAAACATTAAAGACATGAAGGAAGAGAAATACTCTTGAGTTTTTGATAGAGACAGATAGTGAGAGAGTAACGCTGCTGGAATCCTCCATCAACACAGGATGACTCACATTAGCCTCTGATAAACCCTGTTTGGTCATCTGTTGTTTCACTGCCAGTGAAGATTAAAGCCTGATACCGAGGCTGAACAGACAGTGGAAAGTAACTAGGTATATTTATTCCACTCCTCTGCATTTATTTAACAGCCATAGTTACAGTTACTTTACAAACAGAGATTAACTTTAAAATGCTACCAACCAGAATAAAATCTGACATGAACCAGTTTGTTGATTGGTCAGTTCTTTAAATAATTGTTATAAATAGTTTATGTCATTGTGTTAATGCCAAGAAGTGTCATGGTTTCAGCTTTTCGGAGGTGACGACGTAGAGCTCTCTTCATCTTAAATCGCAGTAAACTGAGCTATTGCTGAGACAGAACAGACGCCCATTGACGTCACTGTACAACTCCGGATAATAGAGATGGACTCACAATTTCCTTTCAGTTTACAAACCAAACAATAAATGCATTGGTCAAAAAAATCTTATCTTAAAAAAATCTAATAATACCATGCAATTTAGTAGTAAATGTATTTTAGTCTTTCTATTTGTCTTACACTTCATGAGTGCATTTATCTAACAGCCATTACCAAGATTGTGCACACAAAGCTCATGAAGAGATTAAACACAGAGAAAACTGAGACAACCCAACAGCATCTGAACTTTGACATTAAACAACCAGTTCATAGTTTCTGGATTTCAGACAATTTACTTCTTCCCCTCATCATGAATCACTGAAAGCTGACACAGAAAACACGAATTAACTTCAACATGCTATTCTAATAACACTTCGTATGCTATGTGTGTGTGTGTGTGTGTGTGAGAGAGAGAGAGAGAGAGAGAGAGAGAGAGCTGAGGACTTTTACTTATGATACTTATGATACTTTTATGATAAAGTACACTTTCCTGACATTTATCACTTAACTAATATTTTCAGTACAGAAGCTGTAATGAAGTATTTTTAAAGAGTTATACTAGTACCTTTACTTTGGTACCTGACTACTTCCTCCTGTTCACCTGTCGGTTCGTCCGTCTCTAGTGCTGGCCAGGCTGATCTGGGACCTGCAGTCCTTCCTGTCTGTTCTGGACTCAGAGAACCTGAGTTATATCGCTCAGGCCCAGAAGAAATCCATCTCCGAGCTGCTGTCCACGCTGCAGACACACGACACCCCCGGTAATACCACTACTACAACACTACTACAAATAATACTTCTACTTTTACTGCCTGGACTGCCCCCAGTACTCTGTCCTGCTCTGAACAAATCTTAAATACGCACCATGAATGTCTCGCCCCATTCCTGTATTTAATGACCTTTTCTCTTCTTCTAGTGGCATTTTAATGTCTTTGTGCTTTTTCCTGCATCATGTTTTTAACACAGGATGTAAAACACTTTGTCTCTGTGTATGAGATGTGCTATAATCATAAGCTTTAACTGTGTGTTGTGTTTCCAGTGGAGGATGCTGAGTACATGATCATGAGCTGTCCATCACTGTCTCCTAGCAACGAGCGGTTGGACACACCTGGGACAGGTACGCTCTAATGCTGAACTTAAAACTCCTACGATGGTGGAAAGCTCAACAGGCTTTAATGTTTAGTTTCAAGATTAAAAATCATTAATTAAAGATTTTTATAGTATTTTATTTTATTGGTAATCGTCTACACAAGATACACACTTATGTCAAAGTGAAAAAAAAGTCGTAGTGATGTAATTTAAAAGTCTTAAAAAGAGCTGAAATGGGACGGACGGTTCCTCTGACAAAGCACCTTAGAAAGTTTTACGTTTCATTTACAAAACTCATGAAAATTTTCTTTAATATTAATAGTGCTGTTGGACTGTCTGCTGATGTGAGTCCACGGGCATTAAGTAAATTAATTATATCAGATGGGATTACCACTGTATTCTGCTGGAAAGTATTGGGAATATATAGATGGCTGTAGGTCTTATGAACGACAGTCTGGTATCTGATACGTCTCTCTTGGTTTACCCAGAAAGTGTCCGGTCGTCTGAGCTGCTCTCACAGCAGAACTCGTCTGTGTGGCTGAGGAACGGGGTGAGTCACCACTTACACATGTTTGTACTTCTGTCCTTGTGAGGACTCTCGCTGACATAATACATCCACTAGTCCCTAACCCCTTGATCACCCTGGACCTTTTAGCTAAGCTTAACAGGTTAACCCTAAAAGGATTATGGCCTAACCCCCACCACCTTAGGAAACACACAAGGGTCACCAAATCAGCCCACTAACTTTAACCACCTCTAGACATGTGCAAAAAAATCATCCAAACTAAGGCGTACTTCACTGAACCCCCTCACCCTCACAACTGCCTAATGCCAACAATACCCTAACATAAACCTGGCTCTAACCTGACCCCTAATCTGAAGTGGTGAGGACCAAACAACACGTCCTCACAGTGTAGAAATGTCTTCACAAACATGGCCTCACACTAAGCTTGTCCACAGAGAGACATGGTTCTGGAGTTGATCCTGAGACGTGGCTCTAGTGTTTTAGATTTTTCTAGACGCGAGTTTAACTGTTGTGTTGAGCTGCGTGTCAGTGAATAAGGCTGTGTGAAGTTTGCCAACACGAACCCAGGTTGAACTCTGAGCATTTACAGAAATGTGGGTTACCAGTAAAATGCAGCATCAACTATTTGGAGCTCTATTTAAAATAACATCCAGCTGCTGAAGGCCAGTCTCTGCTCGAACCGTTGCTTTAGTGTGGGATGGAAACACAGGAGCGTCCTCTACCGCAACAAAACAAACAAGAAACCCCATGTCGGTTTCTTTCTGTTGATGTGTGTGTTTGATCCTTCACTTCTTCACCTCCTGATTTTTCTTCTTGAGGTTGAACAAACGTGGTCGGAAAGAAAAAAGAGTTTTTAACATGATTTGGATCCAGAAGTAGTAACAGAGAGAGAACAGGAGGAGGAGGAGGAGGCTGCTCTGTGATGTGGCTTGGTAATGACAGACCGAGTCCTCCTGAGGTTTGGGAGTAGACGGCAGAGACTTGGTGTGTGTGTGTGTGTGTGTGTGTGTGTGTGTGTGTGTGTGTGTGTGTGTGTGTGTGT